CTTCGTTTTGGAGGCTGGAGTCTTTCAGCGCCAAGATCCAGGATACCCTCGAGGAGTTTGGCACAGTCACCGCCGCTTGGCAAGAAGGCAAACCCGGCTAGACCCGAAGGCCCCTGAGCTCAGGACAGATCCCAGAAGCTCGTTGACCAGGCACAGAGCACCAGAGATCCGGTGTTCACCTGCACTCTGTTGAATTGAGCCACAATTAAACCCGGATACGGATAAGTGAAGGCTAGTTGGAACATGGTGTGCTTGTCTCACATAGCTTTGACTGGCGGTGCTGCAGTCAGGGAGCTGGTCAGGGTGCTGTCAAAATGTCTTTAAAGCTGCAATGACCTGATGCGGGTCTGACAATAGGGGAGCACAAACACACACAGTTGGTGGGCTCCTTGGGTTTTGCTTTGAACTAACCTTGCCAAGGGTACCCTCAAACAACACACTGCCATGTGGTGTGATAGAAGGCGGCCATGCGCTCAAAGTGGCTGATGAGCCCCTGCAAATGGCAGCGATTCCCCTTTGAGCCGCGCCCAACACCCCAACCGAAATTCAAGGGGAAGGGGGGGTCGGGCTCACCGGTGCACCGTTTTCGGCAGGTCATGGGGCAAGTGGCCTCTTCAGGTGGCATGTACGAGGACTTGGGGAGTGTAAGAGTGCGAAGCTGGGTAGGTAAGCATTTCAACATTTTGGGATTCTTTCCTTTTGGGTTTTCCCTTCAAACGGTTTGGATTGATTTCGTGGGTGTCACTTTCAAGCCCGCAGGCATTCTTTTGGATCAAACTGATTGAACATCGTTGGGACTGGTTTCAGTTGTCTTAGAGTCGTTTGCCACATTGAGATTTCTTACATGACACCGCTTCCCCACAAAAAAGCATGGGAATCAATCATTTCTAGCATCCTTTAGGGCAACCGCCACGATTTGAGACCTTTTCCGACGTACCACGCGGCCATTTGGGACCATGGAGGAGATGGTTTGGGACACTTACCACATGTTCGATCCATTCGATGATGGCGCGAGACTCAGAGCATTCGATTTGCCCCGGTTCGTTGTATCTAGTTCTGACAAGAAACTCCGGCCATGCAGATGGAGCGCCGCAAACGCTTCTAGGTGCCCTGCAAAGCAGAGTCCTTCATTTGCTGTCTTGAAAGCTAAGAAACTAGAAATGGTGTTAGGAATGCTAGTTCATCTACTTTGGGCGTTGGGGGAGGTCAAGGATACCAGGACCAATGTTTTTTGCAGCCTGTGCAAGAGCACATGACATGTTTGTTTATTGATGGACCGCGGGGAGTAAAGCCAAATCTATCGTTGATGCAGCCCCAAGGCATCTCGCTGACCGAGTTGCACAATGCACTTTGGCGCACGCCGGATGAACCCCAGGCATCCCCAGGCATCTTCCAGGTATCCCAAGCTAGCCCAGTGCAAGGAGTTGAATCAAGATAAGATGGCCCCGGCCTCCTCGATTTTTGGGCAGAACTGACACCACGTGTATTTGGCCAGCTGCAGAACTGCCACCATTGCAAGCGACTATCCGCTGTTTGGCGCCAAGATACCTCGGGGCACCATTGAATTCTGAAGACCATGGAAGACATGAAGGGTCATCGCTAGACTGTTCTGTGTACGTAGCTGCGTGACTGGACACAATCAGTCCCTCTCACTCCAGGACCATGCATAAGAACTGCCCAGCTTCGCAGTGAAGCTGGCCCTCCTTTTCTGTTGTTTGTGGTTGAGGGTTTATGCAGGTGGGGGTCTTTTCACTCCTGGTCCCGCATGATGCTTGTACCCTCCAGCTAAGCCAAAGCGCGCGCGCGTTCGTGAGGCAGCTGACCAGTACGGCATCTCTGCTCTTCAGGGTGAGAAGGCAGCGCACCTGATGGAAACGTACGACACCAGTGGGGATGGCAGCATCGGCATCAACGAGTGACCTCACCAGTCCTGGCGATTGGCCAAGGATTTTAGTGGAGTCAAAAGTCAAGAAAACGCTTGCAAGCGTGCTCTCGACTTTGTGGCTGCAATTCACGCGTCAGGTACGAGCAGCTGGTCACAGATCCTTCTCTGCCAGGCCATGTTTCTGCTTTTCGGTGAAGCTCATTGCAGTCCATCAGTCCACGGTGCCAAGGCTTGATGACCACCATCCTCAGAAACTACGCCAAGAAATTGGGGGGCATCGCTTCATCCCTCGGAGCTGCCAAAATGAGGGCCGAGGCGCGGATCGTGCGGCCACGCTCGGCGCTCGGCGCGGCGGCGTGTCTCTCGGCTCAGGTTGCAACGGTGATTGTTGAGTACTTGACCCTGGTGTGCACCAAGAACCTCACGAAGGACGGACGGCGTGGCAATGGGCGGGCTCAGAATCTTGAAGCCCAGCTCTGACTCGAGCATAGTCCGTCGCCTCGCAGGTGGGATGGATCAGCGGAGACCTGGTGAACGGGGAGCTCCCGCTGGAGCGGTTGTTAAGCAGCACCATTCTGAGCGTAATCTGCTTTTGCGAGGGCCGTTTTGGGGTTCTCCCCCCGGTTTTGTGTTTTGGGGCAGAGGAATATGTTTGAAAGGAGAACCAACGTGAACCGTCTACTAGGTTTTTGGCACCGACCCAGAAGAGTTGCTATTCTATCCAGGTGTGCTGTCGTCTTCTGTGGCCACAGATGAGCCTTCGGGCTGTACGTCCAGGTGATCCAATCCGAGAAGTTTCCAACTTCCCATCAGTCACCGGCCGGCCAGGAGTTCACTGCAGACCTCTTTTATGAGTTCTACCAGGCCAAGATGTCCCCCAACAACTTGTCTCCCATAGACGTAGGCGCTTTGCCGAAACATATCTTTCAATCAGTTTTCTTGAACAGGACTGCCTTCCGTTCTCTGCAGATGCGAGCTCCTGAGGCTCAATGATCCTTAACTACACGGTGAAGGACAACCCCAAGCACACCGTTGCAGCAGTTGCTGGGCTGAGATTTGGGATAATCTCTGGATAGAGGACCGCCCCCAAAGCGGGTGTTTGATGTGTTTGTCACGGGGCTTTCGCTCGAATTTGACTCGTTTTGGGGGATTTCCGCCTGTTTTGATCCATCCCAAGCTTTAGGTGGACTTGCTGGCGTCCCCAGACTTCTTCGCTTCGGAGGGCTTCGATATCAGCATCGAGGACGAGACCATTTTCCAGGTGGTCAGCTGGCTGGAGATGTCAAAGGAGGGACAGGACAGCTCGAAACGCGCATCGAGGGGATATCCATGGCCGGATGGATATGCCGTTGATTTGAGGTCTCGGTTTCATCAGACAGGACTGACGTGTAAAAGGGGCAGTCACTAAGCCGGTCAAGGAATGACTGCAGCTGTCCTGGAATGGGTGCGCCCGGTACCCAAGACACGCTTTTTGCAAGGCCACATTGGGGGCACAGGGGGTACCTTCCACGACAAGACTTCAATAACAGCGACAAAAACAAAAATAATAACGATAAAAAATTGAGCTTCATACCACGACAAATAAAAAAGGTTCATACCACGACAAATAATTTTGGTCCATACGGCTGTTCCAAAGAACGTGTGTTTTGCACTTTTTGGGTCCCAAAAGTGCAAAACACACGTTCTTTGAATCAACCGTCCATTGTTGGAAGAAGGAAAGAAGGAAGAAGGAAGGAAACAGGAGAAGGAGGGAGCCCTGTTTCAAAGAAGGAAGGATCCGCTTTTTGAGCTTATCGTGATTATTATTATTATTGTTTTCGTTCTAAGAAAAATAAATTCCGAGTCGTGGTAGGAGCAATTTCTGTCGTGGTTGGAAAGCTGTTGTGAAGCGTGGTTGGTGCACCCCCTCCATTGGGGGAGGAGAGTCGCCCACAGGACGCCCTCAAGAGGTATGCCGAGATCAAGCCGCAGCCCGGGCAAAGCTACGCGGAGACGTACAGAGATACGGTGCCTTGTCAATTTTGAGGAGCTGAGCCACGATAACAACCAGGGCAAGGGAAGGCCAGTGCAGCCCCTGCCATGGGCCTTTTGGTTCACATGGTTTTGGTTGGACCCCTTGAACCAACATTGATGACCAAATTTGATGCAAGGGATGCCCTTGCACTCCACGGGAAGTTTTAAAAGGGGCGCTTCGCGCTGAGGTGATTCAGAGGGAGCAGAAGTACACAGCACTTCACGGGACTCAGAACGTGGAATTCCAGGCTCAGTCGTCCCAGACTCTCAGGCTGGGGGAAGGACTGTGACAATGAAGTCTCATAGGGTTTGAAGTGCTTAAGTGAGGAAGCGGCATCGCAATTCAGTTGGTGGTTCTCCTTTTGGTTTCCCTTTACATCACCAAAGGGGTACCGTGAAGAAAGACAAACCCACTTGTTAAACATGTTATCGGCAAGACTTGTCGGAGTTTCGGGCTGCGAGGGACGTGCTGCTGGGCGGCTCTGCAGCGTCAAGTGCTGCAGATGACCCGCAGGCACAGAGTGCGGGGGCCGGGGGCTGCATCAGCTTGCGTTTTTATGGGATAGCCATGGTCTCACCGGAAGAGCACTGCTGAACACGACTAGTTCTTTAGCAACAAAGCCTTTGCAGCTTTCCACTCATGCCACGGAATCCCGCCTCCCATCTCAAGTGGGTATTCTCACACTTAAAGAAATGCTGCATCGTCCAGCGCGAGGGAGGACATGTTATCAGACTCTGGTTTGGCATTTTCAGCACTTGACGTGCCATTTTGCAATTTCCAATGAAGATTGGTTTCTTTCTCAATCTCCAATGAAGATTGCTAACTTAGACCCCATCCGACGTTTTTGTCAGGGGAGCGAGACTTCACACGGATGGGGCCATCTCACTAGTCAACAAATTTGCTGTTTCAGTCCGTAAATCCCCACAAGTGGCTCATCTTTCCAGTCCCTCCCTGCCAAATTTGGAGCTGCCCGGACCTCCGGGCGATTTTCATCCCGGGAGTTCCGTGGCCGCGGGAGCGCCGCGTCTTCGCAGGCGCAGGCGGCGTCCGGGTCCTCGGTGCCCGCGAAGCCGGAGACGCTGCGCTGGGCCCAGGAGCTGAAGGCGAACGCCACCCGCTCCGCGACGGACCGGGCACGGGGAGGGGGCTGAGGGGGCAGGCCGCAGGTTTACGGGCACCCCAACCCCGCCTCCCCCCCAAAAAGGGAAAAGAAGAAGAAGAAGAAGAAGAAGAAGAAGAAGAAGAAGAAGAAGAAGAAGAAGAAGAAGAAGAAGAAGCAGTGTTTCACTTACACAAACGGTCACAACAAGGACACCACCCCTCACCCCCCACCCCCCGCCAAACTTTGATTTCTTTCTTTCCAAGATAAGATCCAAATCATGGGCCCCTTCCTCCAATGCGCTCCCAAATCAGAGCCACGAAGGCTTTGAGGAAAGGAAAGGGAGGTAGATATGAGCGGGGTTGAGGAGAAAGGGGTGGGGATGCAGTGTCTCCTCAAAAGGGAAGCCCCAATTGAATGGAGCGCAGGAGCCAAAAGTTGATGGTCTCAAACTTTCGGACTCGCCCGAATGTTTAACTCTGAGCAGAAGACCACTTGTCTACAAGTACTCTGCGACATTCATCATCATGCAGATTCGTTGCAGCCACAAGCACTGGCAGCTTATGATAGCAAAATGGCGAGCGATATTGGCAGGGAAAGGGTGAACCGAAGCTGCATGTTTTGCAAGGAATGCAATGCGAGATAATATGTCTTCTTTGCCAGTTTCTTCGCATCAATCGGCATGTTTCTTCAGTTGTTGTGGCTAGGCATGAATGGCTGACGTTTTCCTTGTAGCTTGCCTTGTTGGGCTCCGCGAACAACATTTAAGTCACATGCAGCTGGACGCAGCCTTGATGTTTTGTACTCTGAGGGTCAGGAGCTGATAAGGGTCTTTTTCGCAACCTCCGCTGCCTGGGCTTCAGGACTTCAACAACCAGTGCTATGCCTACTCGGGCACCAGCTCCAATCCGCTAGAACCCCGGGCTGCATACACGCTGCACGGTTTCGCCACCGACTTGTCTCGACACTCGACGCCCCCGTTTTTTGTGGGGGAGTGTCGATCAGCCGTTGCCGAGGATTCCCTTTGCAACAGCATGAACGGTATGGTCAAGAAGACGCAGAGCTTCCTGACGTTGATGGAGAAGGTGGCAGGCCCGGGTGGAAAGGAGTTCCTGGACAAGCAGGCGGACCTCTTCCTGAACGGCGCCTTGGATAGCTTTGCGGCAATTTTGGGCCCACCGTTCTGTCGCCCGTGACACGAAATTGTGCAAGCAACCCCTAATGTGCTGTTGAAAGGGAAATGACACGAGGGTGCCCACGCAAGCTGTATACAGGGGGTTGGGAGAAATAAACACACTTTGTTTCAATAGTCGGTTGGGCAAGGCACGGTGGATGACATCATGATGGTGTCGGACGTCATCCTGGACAAGAGCATAGACACGGTGAAGTGTGCCAACGGGGATACGGCGGCCTGCAACTCGCAGAGCATCGACCCCGACCTGAACATGAAGCTGACGGGGGCAATGACCTTTGTCACCAGCGACCTGAAGAACTTGCAGGGCATCCTCCCGCAGGCCCATCCGTCAGATGCCAGCCCATCGACCGCTGAGTTCTCTCAATTCGTGATCAGTAGAATGGTGGCCGGCTTGCTTTGAGGCCTTGAGCCAACCTGGAACGTCTGTGCAGGTTTCGAGGGTTGTGCAGCGAAGCGGCATGCTTCTGAGGTCCTCAAGAACCTGGACTTCGCCAAGCCGCCTGGATGCAAGCCTGGGTTTGCAGGCAGGCTATGTGGGCACGAACCATAGATTCGCATCCCTGCAAGCAACCAGACATACTCAAAGAGGCGCCAGTTCGAGGCGTGAGGACGGACTGGTTTTTCTTGCCCGCAGCGTGAATGGATTTGGTCGCCCAGGAAGGAGGTCTCATCTGTTTCCGGGGTGATCACCTCCGTGTCCCAGGCAGGCGTCGAGCTCAAGCAATAGCAGACATCAATCCCCAGCCTCTACATCTGCTTTGTCTGCAGAAGTGCAGTTCTCCTCTCAAACCAGGGGTTTCCGAATGACCCTGTTGAATGGAGCAAACCCAAAGGGAACCTTCCGCCGGCAGCCGGTTCATGACAGCGCCTTCGAACTCCCGAGATCCTGGGCCTGAAAGCGCCGCCGCTCATGGAGCAGATCTCAAAGCTCTATAAGACGCCGGGCCGCATTCGGGTCGCGGCGGCGGAGGCGGTTTGCCAGGCATAGCCAAGCTGTTGCCGGGAACCCACCCTTGGCCACCGAGCTTTGACCTTGCTGCGCCTTACAGGAGTCACGGCCCTGTGTTGCAAATGGGATGCACGGGCAGATTGGACGGAGCAGCAAGGACTTTGTGGATTGTGTACTTTGTGTTCTTCTTCCTCTTCAGCTTTGGCATGTCACTCAGTTCAGAATTATGACGTGCCCTTGCTTGACCATGATTTGCAGTAGAAGTGACATTTCCGCGCTTGATGATGCCACTGGTTTGAATTTGACTCTTGCTAGCATATTGGGGACTCATTGGGGACTTTGCGCAATCTTCAGGCACCAATTTTTTGATATTGGATGGGTTTTTGGAGTGCCGCCTCAAGCGCGAGGCTGTTCTACGGCTTCTGGTCCAATGGATTCTTTGGCGGCCCACAGGTGCCAGTCCTGGCCATTCACCGATCCGGCGCGAGCGTTGACGTATTTGCGAGGGTTGGATCAAGCATGCGACTTGCTCGCCGAAACCTGCTGCTTGGGTCGCATGGGTCAGTTCTGTTGAACGTCACTTGCGTCACTTGTGTCACTTGTGTCACTTGTGTCACTTGGGTCACTTGGGTCACTTGGGTCAACATGGGTCACTTGTGACGTGGGCTACACACTTCGCTTGAGGCGTATCCGATGGTTTTGCAGGTCGAGGCGGCCGCAAGCTCGGAGCCGCCTCAGACCTTCGGGCAGCGGCTGGCGACCTGCTGCTCCAGCTGCCTCGCAGCTTGGCTCCGGATTTTGGGTGTCCAACTGAGGTCAGTTCGCTCCGGTCTTTGGGGAGTTGCCTTTCCTTGCACGGGCCCTTTGAAAGGCCTCCACAACGTTCTTGTTGGTTTCATGAGTCGTTCTTCGCCACGGAAGCCCCAGAAGTCAAGTCGAAGCCGCCGAAATGCGCGTCGTCGCCCTCGCGTGCGGTCTGGAATTCGTGTTTTCGCGCGTCTTATGTTCTGCCGGCCCTGTGTTTCCACGTTCTTGCGTTTTTCGCGCTCTACTCGCTTCCTGCTTTCGGAGTTTTCGATTTACGTGGTTCTCGCGTTTCACGTTTTATCGCGTTTTCGCGTGCCTCCACAGAAGTGGGTTGAATTCCAGAGTCAGATATTGTGGTGAGTCGCCATCACTCTGCAATGTCGAAGATTAGCGAGCAACATTGATTTGAGGAATCGCTTGCGATTGCTACACTCCTGCCACAATCCCAAGTTGACATTGCTAATTGGGAACGTGACCAACAAGAGAAATTCAAGGTCCCAAAAGTGGAACCATGCATAAAGAAAACGACATGAAAACGAGGATTTCACAGGGTCCCTAGCTTTGAGACATGCTAAGATTCTGTGGTGCTGGGCCGAAGGATTCATGGTTTCATGACCCAACCTGGATGGTTCAAAGCGGCAATCAGTTCCTGTGAAAGCTGTGCTTTGGCCTTCTGGTAAGACGAGAAGCAAACTCTGTTTCAGGGTCTTCCTTGTTGCCCGGCTGCAACCTTTCGGGACTCAGCCGTACCAGTGCCGGTTTGAGTGATGGACAAATCCATCAGAAAAGCGAGTGGCCGCAAGGGCCGAAGCTTCTTTTGGAAAGTCGAAATCTCGCGAGAACCTGGCCACTGTAGTCATTTTGAACCCCGAGCTGGGCAATGAAGATCTCTGCCAGGGTTGAGCAATCCCAGGGAAGTTTGGTGGTGCAGCCAGTCTTGGCATCAGTCGATTCTGGGATTCTGGCTTCCTGGGAGTTGGGTGCCTGAGCAGTCCGCATAGCTTGTTTGCTGCCCTAAACATGAATGGAAGCGTGGCTGCAGCATCCTGTGCCCTCTTTTAGCAAACCCTGCGCGAACAAACTGGAATTCACCGGAACTCCATGGGTTTTTGTCTTTTTCTATTTCTGGGACTAGCGTTTTGGATACGACCCCCCAAAATAGCCCCCCCAAGAAACGTCTGGACCTGGACCAGTTTCCCCGCAACCGGAGCCCGGCGCCGGGCACGCGCAGGCCTGCGTCAGGGGCTGCACCTCAGGGCACCTCTGCTTCTGGTCAATGCTGCTGTTGGGCCAGATCCTGGTGCTGGTGCTGCACCCCGGCGACACTGACTGAAATCGGATGGACGAGGTTCTTTCCTTGTTTTGCCTGGACCTGTCCCTTTTTTTATCTTAAGATGTGGAAGCAGAGGAAATGGCGGCTGTATGCCCCACCAAAACTCAGCTTTCGTTCTCGATTCGATGTCTCCATATATATATATATATTCTTGTTGGAAGAGAAAGCGCTTTGGATCAGAGGTGTGATTTTGGATGTATGTAGGGCCAGGCACAACATATAGCCGTTGGCCAAAATATAGTCTAGCTACCTCGACCATGATCTTTTAAGGTTGTCGGAAGGCCAGGCGTGAAAGGCTTGGAGATGCCGTTGCCGATTGTAGCTCTCGCCATTCCAGCGGGCAGCGAAGCTGAACCTGAAGGTGTGTGTGTGTGTGTGACCGCGGCGGGTTGGCGGTTCGGCCATGTCTAGGACTTCTTGGGACTTCTTGGGACTGAGGTTCTTGGTGTCTTTGGTCATCTGCTTGATCACCGGCCTCCAAGCGTTCTTGGGCGCTGGCTGCTCCAAAGTCTACTTGCTGGGCGATCAGAATGTTTGCTCAGCAGTCGCTTGAATGCAAGGCCGTTTGAGTCGTGCTTTTTGAGCTTAGAGAGAAGCCTGTGTTCACTGCAGGTTCTCTCAATCTTTCAGATCTTCTTGAAGACTTTTGGCTCCTCGCACGGAGAGCCAAGTTTGCATCACGGCGCTTCACAATGTTGATGTGGGTGTACTGCCAATTTGCGGATTCACTTCGGAGACAAGGCCATGTGAGCTCAGGTTTCAATGAGCCGTTCGCTGACACCTGCGTGGACCGAAATTTGATGACCTGCAAAGTTATCCGCGACGCGACGGCCCGTACTGCGCTGGTGGCGACGCTTGGCACGCACTTGGAAGGTTCCGATCGCTGTGCCGATGGCTTTTCTCTTGGACACGTCCCGCTTGCAGGATCATTGGGGGCTTGCTGGCTTCCGCGCGGGCCTTAAGTTGTTCGAGTGCTCACCCGTCCCAGACTCAATCTGGGAGGGTGTGTTTGTGTCGGACGGAACGCTCCGCCAACGCACCCAGACACCCATGGACGTGTGATCGAAGCAACATCAAGCATTCACCTGGTTTCCAGGCAGTCGCTGAGGTGTTTTCCTTCCAGATGCTGCTGGACTCTGCCACCAAGCATGAGCGCGCGAGATGCATCCGAGTCATGCAGGAGGAGGGGTTGATGAAGGAAGAGCCGCCTGGATGAAAGGGTGAGATTGGGCTTATGTTACTTTGGCTCGTGATTGATCAACGTTTCTTGGAGTGGGGCACTCGAACCTTCAGCAGGTTTCTGACATTGCGGGAGTCTGCTGGGTGGACTGCCACATACCAAGGTGAGTGATTCGAGCATCGGATTTTGCAAGATCTCTGGCCAGTGGGCTCACGTAAATGTGCCGCTCCGTGGTTAAAAAAAAAGCCAAACTGTGGCTGTTTGGGCTGGGATTGAGTCTGTGACATTCTTTGCGCACTTCCGCGACTTGGCTTTTGGCTCTAGTCAACAAGTACCAGACAGCCCATGGAGCATTGAGAATCGAACCCTAGACCAGACCCCCAAAGCCAGAACCCTGAGCAGTCAGCAGCTGAGGCTCACACCCAAGTTGAAAAGGCGCTCAAGCAAGTCGTGTCTTTGGTTTCTTGGTTGTGCTTTCGTTTGGTCTTGCTTTTGCTTTGGTTTGGCGTTTTTAGCTTATGGCCGGGACCTCGGCCCCTGGCCAGGGCCCCAAATTTCAGAGCGTCGCTGGCTCGCGCCGGCGAAGCGAGCGCGTCAGGGCCGCAGCTCCCGCGGCCGACGAAGGGAATCACCAAAGCGATCATCTCTGCGGCGAGCAGACCCACGGCTTTGGACTCCAGGCGCCTCGCTCGAAGGTTCCGCACAGGGACACGAAGGAAGGCAAGCGGACCAACGGGAGGAAACGGAAACTCCGAGGATTTTTTTCAGCACCTGAATGAATCAAGTCCCATCAGCTCGGCTGTATCTCCGAGAAAACTAGGAAAAAGGGTCCAGCTCAAAGAGATCGTGGAACCGAAATCCTCGCGCATCAAGAATGGGAGGGTGAAATTCCAACAAACTGTTTGTCGTCATCACAAGAAGCCAAAATTGGTTGTAGTCTCCCTCCGATTCAGGAAAGAAACAAACAGGGCGAGAGGGCAACGTTTCAACATGCAGGCACCGACCAAAGCCGCTCATTGACATTGAGGGCACGACGCTGATCTCTCATGTGCTGCGCCAATTGTACAGGCGCGTCGCTTGGTTTGATGGCTTTTTGGCATGAAAACACTGATATTACACTGGACGCATTTCGGTTTGGGGGCATTTCCTAAGGATGTAATCCTAGGGAATAGTGCACCAGCCCTTAGATTGGTGCTGCCTCGGAGTCGCCTGCGTGCCAGGGGTGGTATCACCCACATCGTGTTTGTGGTGTCACACAACGGCAGGGGACCTAGTGCCTAGGTACCTGGTGGCATGCGTGTCTATCCCTCATTGGGGATGTGAATTGGTGGTTGGATTTGCTTGTGTTCACCCACCAGAAAGGTGGGTTCCACAGCACTCAAGAGTTCGGCACAAAGTGAAGCGAGCCTCACTGATTGCATGGGTTGCCCGATTTTCCGGTTTGTGTTTTCTGGTTTGTGTTTTTTTGGTCAGACCCAAATGCCATCAGCCAGGTGCCGCCATCATCGAGGAGCTGGAGAGGTGCCGGGGGAACCTGCGGAACCTGGAGCTCGAGGCGTGGAAGCAGGGGCCCTTTTGGCAGAAATCCGCAACTCGGCCCATCCCTCCCAAGCCCATTGCCCCATCAAGACTTATGCTTGAGCTACACATCGGCCCCTTGGCTCGGTTTCTCCTCTTTGCATTTTGTACACTTCCAGTGTACATGTGTGGAGATTTGAAGGGCGGATTTCCATTTGGACGGGTGGCCAGGTGGTTGACCTTGGGAAAGACTACGCAGGTGCGAGCTCGGAGCTGGACCTTCCCTGTTCTTTGACACTTTTTCCTTTTGCCATCTTAGGACATTTCAACATGTCCTTTGGATAGTTTACCAGCTTGCTTCAACCATCTTCTCCTCACCTCAAGGCCTATTTTTTTCAGATAGCTGAAAGCTACAGGGGTTCCAACTTCTAATAAGGAGGGGACATTGATTTGCGAGATTGATGGGGGGCTAGGGGCGTGCAGTTTGGGTTGCTGGTGTTTGGGGCGCTGTTGGAGGTGCTGGTGAGATTAACGGCTGCGTGCTAGCGGGCATGCAGGTGATGGTGCGGGCGCATTTTTGCAAGATTGATGGTAGGGTGCAAGGAAACAGTTTGGCGTGGTGGTGGTGGTGGTGGTGGTGGTGGTGGTGGTGGTGGTGGGATGTTGTTTGGGGTGCTGTGTAAGGTGCTGGTGATGGCGCGGGTGCATTTTCTCGAGATTGACGGCTGGCTGCTTTGGGGGTGCTGTTTGGGGGGACGGATGCGGGTGCATTTTTGCGACAGGGGGCTGTTTGGGACGCTCTTCGGGAGGTGCTGTTGGAGGTGCTGGTGTACAATCTTCGGCACGGTTTTCGCTATCTGGGGTCTATGCTGGTGTATATATATATATATATTAATATATATATATATACATATATTTAGTTGCCATGGGGTTCACGTAGAGGCTTCTACGCGGTGTCCTTGCTGAAAGCCTGGGAATGCTGTGCGACGGACCTGGTGCTGATCGCCCGGCGCCCGGAGGTTCCCCATGCATCCCCAAAATGCTGGGTTGGGGGGTGGGGGGACCAAATATGAATAACCATGGGGCATAACCTATGGCTCCATTGAGTGGATGAACATATATTTGCCACCTATTTTGATGTTTGGCAGGGGTACAGGGTGTTGACCCACACAGCCATATTATGGGTGGATTGCTGATACCATTGTGCCACATATTGTATGTGCAGGCGGGTGGATAGGTGGGTGGTTGGTATGTGGAATCAATTTGATGCTCGTGCTTCATTGTTTGAAAGCTCGTATTACGTAAAAGAGGAAACCAGGATTCCACAACACACACACTCGCGCGCACACACACACACACCAGTCACTGTGTAGTTTTTGCGAAGGACCAGTGCTTGATGTTGCCCATACAGACAAGCGGATGCGGTGTTCTTGGATGGCTCCAAATGCCAAGAACGTAAGGCAACTGCCGATCACATCTTTGATGAGAGCTTGGTCGCTGACATTTGCAGAGTTCCGTACTGCAGCCACGATTGCGGGAGGTATGTTTTAAATCATATTGTCCCTCTCACAGGTCCAAAGATATTTGCCTTTTCTTGGGTGGCCGACACTTCCCACATTTCCCGGTTGGTTCAATTTGGCAGCACACCCGGGCGGTGCCCCCGAGCGCCAGGCTCTGCCCGAGGGAGCTCTGCGTTCTGGTGGACTTCTCTAGGGAGACCTGGACGGGTCTACCAGCGACCACGGTGGGGGTGCAGTGCTCCGAGGACCTGCACAAAGCCCGGGGCCCTACCGTTTTTTGGGAGACCGAAGCGAGGACGTTTCAAGGTATCCAACAGGTTTCAAGGTATTTCAAGAGTTCCATTCGGACTGGGGATCTCCTTGGCTTGGAAGCCGTTGCAACCAGGAATCTGGGAAAGTCAAGTGGGCTTTCGCGAGGTTTGTGAGCTTTCCAGAGCCTTGGGCGAGCCAATGGTGAAAGGCGCGCCCCGCGCCCCGCGCCCCGCGCCCCGCGCCCCGCGCCCCGCGCCCCGCGCCCCCCGCAGCTTGACACTGCGCGACCGGAGGCGTTCCGCGGCTCCCTTGCGTGGGAGTGGAGGCGCGCAATGGAGAGACCAGTCAGGACGTGGACTTGGGGGAATTCTCTGAGAGATTGCCCGTACCCATGAAGAAATTCTTAAGATTCGGAAACACAGATTGAGAGAGGCCTTTGTGCTAATTTTGCTTGAGCTCAACAGAGCAGCTTTCAGGCTGGGCTGTTTGCCTGCACCAGCTCAATTTTCGAGAGGCGCGCCAACTAGCGACTCGTGCCTCCATTGAATACGGACCAAAGTGAAGGCTCTCCACTTTGGCAAAGTCCGGCGAGTATTTCACCATCACAGATGCCATCCAGGACCATTCAGACAACGCAATGGCCATTGGAATGCAGATGCAATGTGCTGCAGGTATTGCAGGTATGGCAGTTGCATGAATGTGAGTTTGTTCAAATGGGGACATTACATCCCAAATTGGGTGTGTTTCCTTTGGTTTTCCTTTTTCTAGTCCCGTCCCACTTGGAATACACTGGGCCCCTGGCTTGACGCTGGCCCTAGGAGTTGGCTAGCGAAGGCCTGGTGTCCAGCATGCCCACCCGGGGCAGGTGGGGGGGGGGGCGACAGGGGCAGCTGGGCCCATGTTTCTTGAAGGAAGATGAGCTTTGATGATATGTTGATATGCATCAGCCTTTGGGGGACTCACTCATTTTCCCATGGCCTTGAAGGGTAGCAGCATATTTGCCGCAGGGTTTTGATGGTGCCAGGAATTGGCTGGCTATTGAGACCATTACCGAGCTGCAGGCGCGTGCTGCGACAATCGAATTGCCCAATGCATGGAGGACATCTTTCGGGTGAAAAATCGTGTGTCATCCGCTCGGCCGTTTTGGAGCGCGACGTACAAAGGGCAAGGCCCAGAACCCACTCACCAAGCCTGTCGGCAGCCCTAATAACGCAGGGAACCACAATTGACCCATGAATCCACATGGAAGAGACGCAGCCCCCCAGCCCACCTTAGCCAACACTCAAAAAAACAGCATCCTCATGGCGGATGGCATCCGGGACACAGGCAACTCGGCTGATGGCCCTGCTGGACTGATGTGCTGGCTGTGATTCCTGACGCTGGGGACCCTTTGGTGGTCGTCATGTGCATAGGGGTGGCCCACCAACCATTTTCAAGGATGTTGCCCACTAAGATTCATATCAGGGTTGGCTCACTGGCCAGTGTTTCCAGCGGCTCAGGCATCGTTTGTGCCGGGCCGCCACTGGACTTCTCCTTCAAGGAAACGCTCTCAGCACCTCTCGGCACCTACAAACTGGGGACTCAAATGCACTTCTGAGTTTCGGCCAGCTGTTTGGAGTCTTGTTTTTCCTTTTTTTTTGAATAGGGGACTGTCTGGCGCCGACGTGCGTCCCCGGAGCACCTGCGTATCAGAACTGTGCAACTTTCATCCGTTTTTTGGGCAAACCAAGCAAGCGTAAGTCCAAACCTTGGGGTTGAGGGCGACACCTTACACTGGACACATCTCTTTTGTTTTTAATATTTTTTTTTTCTTCTTTCCGCCAGGAGCTCCGGACCTGCGCGGAGGTGGAGACCGAGGAGCCGCGGAGCGGGGTAAAGCGGAGCGACCTCAAGGACCCCGAGGCGCAGCCGGGCCGTGGGGCCGTGGGGCCGTGGGGCCGGGCCGGGCCGTCCCGCTGGCACCCCCCGGTCCTCTAAGTAGCTTCGACTGCCATGAGCCAAAAAGGCAAACGCTTTTTTGGGGACGTTTGATGGGGAATGGTCGGGAAACCCAAGAATCGCGCGATTTTGGCGGCCTCAACCGTCCTTTGTAGGAGTATCTTTTCTGGAGGGAAGGTGCTTTGCACATGGTCGGTCGGTCGGAAGGGCTTAGAGATGATGTTTGGCTGAATCGGGGGACTTAGTGTGGTTTTCTTGCGGCCTTAGGGTGGGATTCGGGGCGACTTTCACAGTTGGCAGGTTTGCTTTGGGGTGTTTGGGGAGCGCGCCCCAACACCAATCTAGCAATACCGACCCTAAGCACACAAGAATGCACTCTACATCCCACCCAGATTCAGCCGAGCATCATCCCAAACCCTGCCTAAGCCAACCCTAAAGGAACACAATACGAACCACTCTCCACCATTAAGTTGTTTAAGATCAGAGCCTTGCCTTGAACCAACCTCATGGCCCCAAAAGGATGCGTTTTCGCCGTTTCTACTGTGGAAACGCTGGCTGGGTCTTGGGGACGAGCAAACGAGCAGGGGACGGCCAGACAAAGGGGGAGGGGCCAATTGGACTTTTTCTCTGATGGGTTTGAAACACCAAGGAGATGCCGCTCTGTTGAAGACACACACACACACACCATCAATCAGCGGAATCAATTATGAGGTTGTCCTGAAATAGGGGGGAGGTCCTCTCTCAGATTGTAGAGGGAGTAAAGGGAAATCTGTGCATCCCAGTTTCCAACCATGAGACTTACCTCCCTTTTCCAGACGGTCTTCCCAAACCCCTCTGGGAAAGAGGGCACTGGCCTGGGGATGCGTTTGGACGAGGCCCCACCGCGCGCGGAGACCGGCCTTGGCCTCAGGGCCTCGGGTAAAAAGCTTCCTGATTCGACTTGGAAGAACCTGCGCCCAAGACCACGATTCTTCGCATCCCGGTTTTTTGGTGCTGCTTTAAAATTTAGGCCCATGAATCGTTCCCCAAAGATTTCCTCGGGTGTTGGGGCGGTGTAACATGTGGCACTCCCGAGGAACCGCCAAGGCTGGGGCACGGGGTTTGTCGAAGCAGACAGCTGGCAGTTGACGTGATTTTCAGTTGTTGTGGGCGAAAGCAGCAGACAGCCCCGGTTGTTGGAAGTTGTCAGCGAGGAGGCTTTGGATCGGGCTGATGGGTGCTATTGAGGTGTCGCCTTTCTCAGGTTCGGGAAGCAAACAAATCCTGATAACCACCGGCAAGCAGGAGATCAGCAGATGCTGGCATAGAGCCCCAAACAGATTTGTACTTGGGTCTTTGCATTTCCCTTCGGCTGGGGCGATCTTTAAAAGATAGGAACCCTGTCAGCTGTGACACGATCAGGTCCTTCTCTCCCCCATTCCCAGCTCGCGACAGGAGATAGTGCAGCCGGTGGCTGGCAGCACCGCCTTGCGCCTCGCATTGCAGCCACCGTTTTCGGAGACGAAACCAAGCCCAGACTTCAGGACCTCCAAAGGTAGGGGCGCCTTGCCATTTGGATGCTCGACTGGCGTCGGCGGATCGGATTCGTACTTCGCGGGCGGCGCCTATGAGAGGTATGCTCAAAGGGGGGAAACCCTGTTTGCAGCCGGGTTTGAAGGGAAACCAACATGACACCAACCGGTGGGGGGACAAGTTCCCGCCCGCAACCTGCGGTTAGTGTTGCGAGGTCTCGGAAGCTGGTGATCCGAAAGCTGACCACCTGCGTGAAGTTGAACAACAACATGCTGGAGACGTTGACGCCCGGATGGCTTTGAAGGAGAGGTGACAAGTGCTTGTTTGATGTCAACAAAACGTTTGCCAGGACTTTAAACATTCCATCTTGCATTACTTGGCAGAATTGTCGGCCTTCTGTCTGTCGCGCTCGCCCAGCAATCCGGGTCGCAGAACATCAGCTGTTTGATTTGGGGTGGCCCAAGCTTGGCATCCCTATGCACATGTGCAACTCTACATTTGAATTGTTTGAGGTCAACAAGACAGGCGTTGTTACTTTCAATACATTTCACATCCCAGCCCAGCAACCCAGCAGTCCTGTCGGGGCATAGCGCTGGGTTTGTTTCCAAAAGTTTCCTGGATGTGCGAGGGGTATGTCTCAAGAGGAGGGACGCCTCTGACTAGCTTCCGCTTGGTTTCTCCTGAAAACACCAATGGAGCGGGTTCTCTTATTTGGGTGTGGCTCAAAATCAAGCAACTGGGGTTACGCGGGTTTTAGTCTACTTGTCCATTTGCCAGGGTTACATTTTTGGATCCCCAGTTTTGAGCCACGCCCACTTCGAGACATACAGAGTTGGTCAGCTTAGGACTGGACTGTTGCCAGCACTGGAGACGGCGCTGCCGTCGCCCATGCAAAACCTGCACTGGCTGGACGTGTCCTTCAACCAGCTGGCCACGGTGGATCTGGAGCTGCTGAAGTTTGTGAACCTCAAGGCAGGGCTCGGGTTGCGGGTTGATGGTAAGGACAATGGACACAGGGATCATTGGAGGTTTCGCATGGCAGGACCCTCCAAATGGCTGGGTTTTTCTTTTGGCTTCCCTTTGAACGATCCCAAAAGTAGGCCACCAGATTCGACTCATCTCCAGGGCCGAGCAATCCAGAATGCAAAGCGCCAATAAGGTTGCGTGGAATGAGAGACTCCAACACACTAAACGAATCTCCCAGAATCCTCCAACACACCGGAACCCCCACCGGTAGAGCCGGCGAAACCGGTTGGCGGAAGTTTCAAAATAGAAATATAGTTCTCTTTCTCTTTCTCTTTCCCTTTCCCTTTCTCTTCCTTTTCTGTCCCTTTCTGTCCCTTTCCCTTCTTTCTCTTTCTCTTTCTCTTTCTCTTTCTCTTTCTCATTCTATTCTGTGTCCTTTTCTCTTTCTCTGTCTCTTTCTCTTTCTCCTCTTGTTCTTTCCTGAATGCCTGTCTGTGGAGAAACTCTTTCGGGTAGGTCACATATCTCTGTTTCTCTTTCTTTTTCTAATTCTCTTGTTGTATCTATCTATCTATCTAATCTAATCTAATCTAATCTAATCTAATCTAATCTAAATATAGTCTAATCTAATCTAATCTATCTTATCATCTTATCTTATCTTCTCTTATATTATCTTATCTATCTATCGAAATCTCATCTAATCCAATCCAACCCAATCCAATCTAATCCAATCTAATCCAATCTAATCCAATCTAATCAAATCTAATCTACCTAATCTACCTACCTACCTACCTAACCTAAACCTAACCTAAACCTAACCTAACCTAACCTAACCTAACCTAACCGAACCGAACCGAACCGAACCGAACCGAACCTACCTACCTACCTACTACCTACCTACACATCTATCCATCTATCTATCCATACATCTATCTATTTGTCTATCTATCTAAGTACCCAATCTTCCTATCTATCTGATTCTCTATCTATGTATCGATCGATCGATTGATCTAATCTATTTTCATCTAATCTAATCTAATCTAATCTAAATCTATCTAATCTATCCATCTAATCTACCTACCTACCTACCTATCTACCTACTACCTACCTACCTACCCACCTACCTACAGACCTACCTACCTACCTACCTACCCACCTACCTACCTACCTACCTACCTACCTAATCTATTTTTCTATCTATCTATCTATCTATCTATCTATGTATCTATCTATCTATCTATCTATCTATCTATCTATCTATCTATCTATCTATCAATCATCTATCTACCTACCTACCTACCTACCTACCTACCTATCTATCTATCTATCTATCTATCTATCTATCTATCTATCTATCTATCTATCTATCTATCTATCTATCTATCTATCTATCTATGCACAAAGCACCGAGGCACTTTACCTGCATGGCAACTGCATCCAGAAGCTGGGCAGCGTGCAGAGACTGCAGAAGCTCCCAAAGCTGATCTCCCTGACGATGAACGGGAACCCGGTTCAGTCAACGAACATCTACCGCTCTTTGGCTGCACGTTGGTTGGCACAAGCTCCGTACATTTCTTGCCCACTTTCCATTTGACCAGATCCAGACACGGACAATCCTGCTTTTTCCGCAAACCCACACACAACCTGTTGATTTGAGCCTCTGACTTATTGGTCTATCAAGCAACATGTTGGCACTTGTTGGAAGAACACGGCTCTCCCAGGTTCAATAAATCAAGTCGGCCTTTGGTATGGTTCAATGAGGTTGAGCCTCCTGTATGGTGCGTTGGGTCTATAAAACAACAGTCGGTGAAAACATTGAGAGGGACCCAATTAAGGGAGCAATGGCTCACATGTCGAGACTCGACATGGACAGATCTGTGCCCATTTCAGGTGAGTTTCCTTTTGTGGCATCTGGCTGGGTTGGACATCGTGAGGCCTCAGCCAACTTGCGCAGGACAAAAAACATAACTTGAAAGCTTGAAAGTTGAGCCACTTGGAGCGGCCTAGATCCGAGAGGCACGTTCATCCTGGGGGTGCTGCCGCAGCTGAAGAGCCTGGACCACACCTCCGTCACCGAGGAGGAGGCGATGGGGGCGGCCGCCTGGTTCCGAGGCCTGGGAGTTGGCTTGGTTGGCTTGGGCATTTGCGGTGAAGACATGTCCGCAAACGACGCATCAGCCATCGATGGTTGTGTGGCTCATTTGGACGGTCTCTTTTTGTTGCTTGGGGTTGGTAGGTCAACTTGGGGATTTGAGACTGCCAGCGAAATTCAGCCCGTCTTTGCCCAGGGCACCTCCACAGAATGAAGGTCCGCAAGGCGGGGCGCGAACGCGGCCTAGTTCGAAAGAAGAAACGCCCACAATCTTGAAGCGGTCCTGAACCCGCCTTGGTTTTCTTGCCTTGAAACAATGTCGGCAAAGAACCGGCCAGGACGGTCTGTTGATCCGATCAGAGCCGTCAGGAGCGCATGGAGGAGGCCTCGCGCCTGGCGGATCTCGCCTGAGCCGTTTCGAGAGCGGCCTGAAGGCACATAGGCTGCAGGTCCTGTTTGGCAGGCAACTCCTTTTTGTGGTTGTTTTGAAGCGACCAAAACGGAAACCAGGCATTTTGAGGGATGATACCTCCCTCCCAACCATAAATGGATTCATTTTTCGGGCGTGCTTGGATTGTTGAACCGAATCTACTAGAATAGGGGCTTACGGAACCCTTTCATACAGATCCGGGTAGAAGTGCACCCGGGTTGTGCCAGCTCAGTCAGCTACAGTCAGTTACAGTCGCTCGCACTTGGCACCAATGGCTGTCAACACGGCGCCGGTGCACGATTTTCAAGCAACCCTCGTGGTGACATTGAGGAGCAGCAAGGTGGCGTTGACTCGGATGGCTTCAGTCAAAGTTCTGGGCTTTTCCATTCTAAGCTTAGGGTTTCTGGAGACTGTTGATTAGCCAGGCACATCGCAGAGGTGCGAATGATGCAACAGAGGTGAAACCTCTTGTTTTTGCACGCTCTAGGACCCTAGGAGTCGGCTCATAGCTGTAAGCACCCCTTCACAACTGAAGTGGGGCGGACAGATCAGGTCTGAATCCGAGTTCATGCTTGGTTCTGTCACATCCTAGACCGACCGGGCGAAGACCAAGCAATGCTTCGCGTCAAATGGCGCGCGCCCGTTGCCACGATCGACGCCTGTCAAGCGCCCGATCAGCGCCTGTCAAGCGCCTCAGGAGTCCCGATCCAGGCTGCAGGGCCGGGCGGACACTCCGGGTCACACGCCGTCGGGCCACTCGTTGAGCTGCCAGCCACGTAGGTGCCAAGCTGCGAGCTCTGGGGCCCCTGCAAGATCTGGGGCTGATTTTTCGGGAGTAGCCTTCTTGGGGATGGTTTAAAGGAAACTATCTCAGGGCGCGCCCTCTTAGGTCCTTGGAGGATCCGCTGCCGGCCATCTTCCTCGCGCGCCCCTGAAAGTGCTCTGGGTGGGGGCACGGCCAGCGATTGGCTGCAGGCGGAGGGCCCCATGTCCACCTGACAGAGCCTGCGTTGAACAGGCTTGACAAGAGCTTTGTCCAGTCTGCGAGAGTTAGATTTCCATGCTGGGGAAGCGCGGCCCCCCCGGAACTCGGAAGGCGGCCACAGCGTGTATGTGTGCCGCATGCTCGCGTTGGCCAGGCGAGGTTGAACCACTTGCTTAGATCCCATGTAGACTATGTCTTGCACGTTCACCGTGCCCTAGATGTCCAAAGGCCGCGGGACATATCCCGTAAGCAAGTTCTGGTGTTTGCCTTGGCAAAGGCCCTTGGTCTTCCCGACTTCCAAGGTGCTTCAAAGTCAAGCCCCTTTTTGTTGCAGAAAAATGAGGGCCTCGCCTTCCTAAGGTGCCAGCCTTGCGCGGTTGCACATTGGTTGTTCCGCACGTGTTGGCTTACACCCCGCAGTCGGGCTCGAGTATGAGGGGCCTACCCATCCGCGCAGGCAGGGTTGCATTGAATCGTTGGCCGACAGGGTTTGTTTGTCGGACGAAAGTCTTGCTGCATACGTCGTTCTCTCCCGACATCGCTTTCAGACCAGCCCTGAGGTTTAAGAGGCAACGTAAGGTGGCATCTTGTCAGGACTCCTTGCAGTTGTTTGGTGGCATTATGTGGCATTGCAAGCTTCTACTTCTGATTAGACAAGAAGTCAGATATTTGTCATTTGCCATCGCAGCGCGTATGTGCCATCGTGCTTCCACTTGGGCTTATGCATGTGACGCGCGTGGTCTAACACAGCTCAACTGGGTGTTGGGCAGCAATGGCTGAAATGGTAGTTTCTGCCTATGGCTTGTCTACAGCGTGCCAAGTCACCAAGGTTCCTCGGTACTTGGATCGTTTCCTTTGCCAGGCCTCAGCCATGCCCGGCTCCGGGTGCAAAGACTCGGCTGCGAGGCAGGGTTTGAATCGACTCGCGCCAAACATGTTTTGCATTCTAAGAAAAAGCAACACAAAAAATCAGCCGCCAAGCAGAAACACAAGAACAGCGCACAGCGTGTTTTGCTTTGCTGGCCTTGTCCTGTTGTGTCTTGGTGTGTTTTGTTTTGTTTTCTTCTTGCTTGTTTATGTGCTTGGTTGTTTGTTTGTTTGTTTGTTTGTTTGTTTGTTTGTTTGTTTGTTTGTTTGGTTGGTTGGTGCTGGCAATCTGAATGGTTGGTTATTGGCAAGGGTTGAGATTGTGAATTATTGCTTGTTTGATTGCACTGTGACACATTCATGTCGAAGGCACCGCAGCCAAAATGCTGGGCCAAATGTTCTCCCGAGGGATTGACGTCATGCCATGTTGTCTCCTCGACTTAAATGGCTGGTGAACTCCCTCAGCAAGGCAGCTCAAAGCTGTGTCCAACAGTGTGGCGTCACATCTGTCATCGACTCCAACGCTTGGGATTCCGAAGCACAGTTTCTTGATGCCTGCGCGGGAGAACATACGAACGAACCTGTGCTTTCTGAGCTACGGTCATTATGGGCTGCCGCCCAGGGCTCATGCGCAGCCGCCGTCAGACGAGCGGTCAGCACTTTTGCGGAGCACGAAGCACACGAACCTGCATCAGTAGACCATCGACCGGCGCCCAGCCAGTTGCTTGCGGGAGGACGCTGCGACAAGAAGTCAGACGTCGGCGCTGCAAAGCGACGTAGATTGCGGGCAGCTGAGCCCGAAGAAGCTTGCTTGCATATGAGCAGCTTGCAGCTTCGAGAAAAAGCTGCCGTGGAATCTGCGTGCAGTGACCTGTGGAAGCTGTTCTTGGAAGTGGGCGAAAGCGGATCTCAGTGGGGGGAATATGTCTCTCTCAGCCCCACTGACCAAGACAAGTTTGCCGCCATGTTTCTCGACAACATGTGTTTGGTTGCTGTCACAACACTTCAGTCTGCCCTGCGCGTGGTGCGACGATGGAAACGGCACTGCTGCGATTCCAACATATCATTGTGGAAGCCTTCTAGTGTCCACGTCGCGCTGTGGTTAGGGTCCCTTCGCGAACATGGGCCTACAGCCCCGCAAGGAGCGTACAACACTGAAGTGGCTAGAGAAAAAGCTCGGCATGTGCTTCCACTGCGGTCTGTCCCTTGTCCGGGACCAAGCCGGTGTGCTGCAGTCACACATTGAGGTGCAAGCCATGCCTCTACTATTGTCCGTCATTGTTGGCCTGGAATCGCTGTTGACAAGCCCGAATGAGGCTGTGAAGGCGCTGGCTTTGTCATGGTTGCTTCTCACCTTCGCATGTCTCCGCTTTGCCCACCTGCAACGGTCAACCATTCTGGAAGTGACGAGCAATGGCGTCATAGCACGGGCTTTTCTTGGCAAGCGCCGCGCTTTGGGCAGGCGCAGGCCTTTTGAGTGGAGGGCGCCCAGAAAAGGCGTCACCGAGGTGGACATTGGCAAGTCTGCGCGTGCTTTCCTCAGCCGTGCGTTTGCGGCCGGTTCGGGGCAAACCTTTTTCTTGCCAGACCTTCTGCCCAAACGTTGCACGCTGGAGTCCGCTACTGGTTTCGCTGGCAGGGGCATGTCGATTGGGCGTTTTACCCGCTTGAGCCAGCACATGTTCCAGCAAGCGCCATTTGCCATGTCAGAGATGGAAGCTTCGGCCTTGACATCGTGTTCTGCCAGACGTGTGTTGCCCACCATTGCTGAACTTGGGCGATTTGACCCTCATGAGCTGCTTCTGGTTGGGGGTTGGAAGGGCAAGCGGCACAGCCAAGAAGACTTGAGCATGCCCATGCGATACGCAGACCAGAAGGAGCACGCAGGCTTGGCAGTAAAAACGGAATTGGTTTGCGTCATGCGTCGTGTTTGTCAATGTGGTGCCCAAACAAGTGCATCCTGGGATAGGCTCAGCAACTTGTTTCCAGATCGCCAAGTGTCAAGACGGTTGGCAGCGGCCGCCTTGCAACAGAGTCTGGGCACGTTGGGCGTCTTCCCAGAGGAGCAATGTGATTCTGCCCAGGACATAGAGCAAAGTCCCACGTCATCCGCATCCAGCGATTCCGACTCCGACTCCTCTGAATCAGTGTCCACGGGCTCCACTGAACAAACAGACAGTTCAAATGTGCAGTGGGTCCTCAGCAAGGGCCGCAAAGGGCATTTACACTTGTGCCGGCCACTGCAACTGCAAGTCAAGAGGTGGCGCACTATGTGCAACCGTGGCCTCTGCACTCCTGACTTGGGCACTGGCCTTGAAGATGCCTTTAGCACCGGCAAAGCCTGGTCGCCACGATGTTACCAGACGCTTTCTGCCTAATACCGCCAGTATTGGAAGGATCTATGCGCCAACGGCGCTTAATCTTTCGACAGATCAATGGTGCCAGTTCTGTGGGAGCTGCAGTGATTCAGTTGCGTATTGCATGCTCTGAATCTGTGTCACTGCTGTGAGGCTTCCCGCACCATCTGTCAAAATAAGAGGGAAGCTTGCTGACTCGCGCATTTTGCAGTTCTGTCACAGCCAGCATGTTGAGCAATAATGCTGGCAATCTGAATGGTTGGTTATTGGCAAGGGTTGAGATTGTGAATTATTGCTTGTTTGATTGCACTGTGACACATTCATGTCGAAGGCACCGCAGCCAAAATGCTGGGCCAAATGTTCTCCCCCCCTCTTTTCGTTAACCGTTAACCCGTTTTCCCAACCCGAACATTGCCAATGAAGCGGATTGGCCTGGCCTTTGTGGCGGTCTCCGCGTATCAGTTGTTGCGGAACCAAACCCATCGCGGGTGGCAACAGCAGCGTCGAGTCTCAGTTGGTTCAAGCTCAGGTTTCACAAGTTTTCCTTTTAACATCATGACGACAATGAAAGAGGATCTGAAGTTGCTTCTGACACGCAACGGAGTGCACGCAGATGTAGTTGCCTGGCTGACGGCCAGCCCTCAAGATTGTCATGACATCAAGAATTTTGCAAATATAGTTGACGCTGCCAACCAGTTGAGCGCAGCAGTCCTGCAGCACACCAGCCAGAAAGACAATATCGGCCAACTGGCGCGGCTTAAGCAAGCTTGGAAAGAGGCCGAGGGCATCAACCAGTTGGACAAAGCTGAAGCGGATTGCCCAAGGAATCGCGGAAGACTCCTTGGACGAAGCGCTTGACCCGGAGACTCGCAAATCAAAGTACGCAACCTTTCAGAGCTTCTACCAGTGGACTCTGAAGTCCCGTGAGATGGTGTGTGACCCTCTTTGGTCGCATAGTTCGGGAGTTCGAGGCAGGGCAACCAACCATGTTTGCTGTCTTGCGAACGCAAAGCCTTGCCACCTCCCAACGCTCCCAGCCAACAAAGAAGCATCGCATTTCCGATTCAGTTTTACTCAATGTCTTGCAAGATGATGAAGATGGGCCCACAGAGGACGCAGAGAAGCTCCGAACCTACTTTGCATGCTTCCGCACGTTGGGCACAGGCTGGGCAGTTGCAGGTTGCTTTGACATCTCGTACGAAGGTAAGATGGTCAAATTCTGCCACTGGCAGCAAGTGTGCACCTACGTCAGCAACCTAGAAAGCAAAGCCTGGAGTGCAATTGACAAATTTCCGGAGGACCTAGTGCTCCATACATGTCCGACACTGAAGAAAAGATCAGGGCCACCGCCATTGAGCGGTGCCGCAGCGATAAGGTGGAACGACGCCAGAGGCTGCCCTGGCCGCAATTGCACCAAAGGCAAGGCCCATGTCTGTGACGTGTTGCTGCTGACTGGTGCGGTGTGCGCCAGTCCGTCCCACACCAGAAATTAGCATGACCCGAACAGGCACGGGCAGGTCATGCCCTTTGCCAAATCTTGACTACCTCGGGTCCGCCTTGCCTGCTGGCTCCGCAGGCAAGGTTGCAGACCGTAGGAGCTTCATATTGATTGAGCTTTCTGGTCGTGCCATGCCTTTTGCAGCTTGCGCAGCCGTGGTGTGCGCAGAAGACATGTTTTTCTCTTCAACCACGGCTGACGAGCGGTTTTTGGCTGGCTCGCATTTTCCCCACAGTTCCGATATAGGTCCCATCGAACACATCCATGAAGACGCATTGAGAAGCATTTTGCTCCGTCATCCAAGCAAGTCAGTCATCGTGACTTGTGGTGTGCCTAACATGCCGGATCGCCTGTTGCGCGAAGCTTGCAGGATCATCAACCTGATGTTGCAAATTGAAAGCCACCAGGCCTTTTGGATGCTTGGGGGCCTGACACGCGGCGGTGCGGCGGATGTCGGGCAGTTGCTGCCCGCCGCGCAGGTCTTTGCCTTACAGGTAGCTGGCGACAACCCTTTCAGCTCCCACAGCCGATGGTGTGTGGCGCGAAATAGGTTCAGGCTTGTGGTGTGCTCATTGCCAGCGCCAGCCTTTGCTGAGCACCTGTTGTCTGGATGGGCCCCGGCCTGGGGCAATATGTCGCGACAACAAGCTTTACTAACTCAGGCTGTAGTGTGCGCTCGAACTGGCCGCCGGCGGGGTCTTGTCGCCCAAGAGCTGGAACTTCTCCATGGTTATAGCGCAGCCCGTACTGCCTTGCTGCTGCAGGAAGCTGCGCCCGGTGATGCTGCGGACAGGAACCTTGTGGAGTCCCGAAGAGCCTCGGCTGTGACAAGCGCCTTGCCTGTGACCGTTGCTGCGCTTGTTCTTCAAGGGTTGGAAACAGACGCAGCAATGACGCTTGTGCCGCGCCAGTCTGTTGATGGCAACACCAAGTTCATGGATGCCTGTGACTCTTGGGATGCAAGCATGCCGTGTGGCAACATTGCCTTCCAGCTACGCACGCTGTGCCCATACTTGTTGGACCGCAACGAACGTGGCCTATCAAGCCACAAAATTTTGGGGCCAGACTGGGCTGACACGCATGCCTGCCAGGCTGCTCGGCTGGCTAGCGGTGTGCAGCAAAAGGCGGACGGGTTCGCAGCCAGTCAGCAGCGCCTGCTACCCTACGGCCTGCCGCCTGAGACGGCCGAGGCGCTGTCGTCGCCGCTAGAAACACCGGTGCCGTTGGCGGATGACTTAGACTAGGCGGTGGGAAACTGTGGTTGCCCAAGGAATACATATTCGCGCTTGGCGGCAGAAGCAGTGGCGCTTGTTGAGCCAGCACGTGCGCCGCCTTCAGCCCTTGGCCAGCCACCTTGAAGCTGGGCGGTCTGCTTCTTCACACCGAGTCAGCGCGCGCCTCTCTCCGGCTTCTCTGGCAGCCTTGCGCTACAGCATATGTTGGCCTGATGTGCACGCGGCTGCAGCAATTTGCCAAGGTGTTGAAATTGTAGGTGAGCTCCCGTCATTTGGCATTTACCGAAAAATGCAGCAGCCCACCCCTGCTTCTCACTCGTGCTTTAGCACGCTGGACAACTAGCGGTGGCTTCAAGACTTGTTGCAGGGCCCTCTGCAGGAGGTGCGTGTCGTTTGGGAGAAGTCAGAAACTGAAAGGCAATTAGGCATTCTGGAAGGCTTCTATGACCCAGAGGATTTGCATCGTCGCTTTGGAGCGTACGAGTGGCGGCCCATGATTCGGTTTGCGATTTGGCAAGAAAGCCACAAAGCTTACAGATGTATTGACAACGCCAAGGCTAGCGAGCACAACCTCTGCACAAGCGTGGAGGAACGCATACACACAACTTCTGTTGACATGGGCATTGCTGTGTGTCAAAGATTCAGGCGCCTCATCAGCCAACCGCTGGAGGGGCCTCTGGCGCTTCACGCGGCTACCAAGGACATGAAGCGGGCGTACCGGCAAGTGCCAGTTAAGTGTTCTCACCTTCGCTATTCAGTTATTGCCTTGTGGCATCCATTCCAACACAAGTGGGTTTTCGGCATTTTGCATGGACTTGCTTTCGGGCTGCTTTCTGCAGTGTTGCAATTTAACCGGTTTCCGGCTTTGCTTGTTGCCATCGCCCGGCGCTGGCTGGCCATACCAGTCATCAATTTCTTTGATGATTTCAAAATCACGGAGCCTGTGTTTGCCAAGGCCTCATGCGGGCTGTACTTTGACAAGCTTGCAAACCTCCTCGGGTGGCTTTTTGACCCAGAAAAAGACAAGCAGTTCCAAACCACCGCCAAGTTCTTGCATGGCCTGGAGACTTATTTCCCTCCAGAGAGGGAAGGCGACGTCAAAAACAAGCTCAGCAGGGCTATTGCAATTCAGAAGCTTGAGCCAAAGGAAGCCCGGTCCTTGAGTGGAAAACTAGCACACATGGCCCACTTCTACCTCGGTCGAGTCGGAAGAGGGCAAATCCACGCAGTCTTCGAGCAAGGCTTGGGGAAGACCGCCAAGGTGTCGCCCAGGTTGTTGCGGAACCTCCAGTTCCACCTAGCGCTCTTAGATTTGAAACCATACCGACAGGTGTCCCTGCTTCCGGGTCGCTTGAACAGGCGAACTGTGTACACCGCCAGCGCCGCCTCGGATACTGCCTGTTGTCCAAGTGTCTTGGCTCGTCCTTGACACCGCTGCCGGTGTGGCCGAAGGGGGCTTTGCGATTGTGCCGGATGCTGTTCTGCATTCCTTCCAACAAAGATCCACGTACATTGCCCAGGGCGAAGCTTTCGGGCCCTTGTTGGCTGCCCACTTTCACACAGATTTGTTGGCGCAGGCTCACAACATTTTCTTCATTGAGAATCTTGGTGTGCTCTCTGCCTTGATTACGGGACATGCCCGGATTGCAGATTTTGGGGCTGTGATCCATGCCTTCCATTTGAGCATGGGGCAGCTGCATTCCACGTGCTGGTTTGAGCATGTCGAGTCACTTGCAAATCCAGCCGACGGCGGTTCTCGAGTGGGAGCAGCGTGCCCGCTGGCCCGGAAGCTGGGCGTGCGCATGCAATTGCGCGAGTTTCCAAAATGGCTTCCGGATGTTCTCAATGCGAGCCCTACGGAATGGTTGTCGTATCTCCGAACTTGCAAAACCGATTGATCCATTGTTTACCTCGCTGTCCCATGCGACTCGTATTGCTGAGTCAGCATCTGGAGAACTCGACTTGCTGTCAGCATGGCGATGGCGGCCAAGAAGGCCGACAAAGACCAGTGTGCCGCGGTAACAGCATACCGCGTGCCTGGGAGCTGCAGTGATTCAGTTGCATATTGCATGCTCTGAATCTGTGTCACTGCTGTGAGGCTTCCCGCACCATCTGTCAAAATAAGAGGGAAGCTTGCTGACTCGCGCGCATGTTGAGCAATAATTGGTTGGTTGGTTGTTTGTTTGCCTGTTTGCTTTTTTGTTTGTTTGTTTGTTTGTTTGTTTGTTTGTTTGTTCGTTTGTTTGTTTGTTTGTTTGTTGGTTGCCTTTGTTTTGTCCGTCTGCCTGCCTGCCTGCCTGCCTGCCTGCCTGCCTGCCTGCCTGTCTGCCTGTCTGGTTGTCTGTCTGTTTGTTTGCCTGCCCGCCGTCTGTTTGTTGTCTGTCTGTCCGTGTGGGCCGAATCTGGAGGAGTTAATGTCCGCGTACTTTTGTGCAATGGTTCTGTGTGGATGAAGAGTGGGCTGAAGAGGTGGTTGCGTGTTTGCATTTGACGCGAGAAAGAGACAATGACAGTGGCTAACGGGAGTACATTTGCAACCACAAAAAGGCTTGAGTAGATTCCTTTAGCGGTTTCGGGTTGCGACCCCAATGCACATGGGTTCTATTTTGAGGGTATCCTTCCCTTTTTGGGTTGTTTCAAAGGGAAAGCAAAGGGAAGCCACCGCAAGCCTGGAGGTGACTCGCCCGTGGGCCGGATTTGACTTGGCCTGAGCCTGCCGATGCATTGCATCGAGATGCCACAAGCAGAATCTGCGTATTCTTGGGTAGACTCCTGTAATGCCAAGTTTTGATTGTGACTCGGTTGAAGCCAAGCTGAAGCAAGGCACGATGTTTCTCTGACAACCCGAACTTCGATGTCTTCCAGAAGCTCAAGGATCCCCCTCAGGCGGGCTGGAAACAGGGAGCATCTGCTTCTCGATTTGGTCAATACCCGACTCCCAGGTTGGGGTATGGTTGGGAAGGGGTTCTACTTCCTGATTGGGAGGGGGGGTGGGTCATTGAGCCTCGATAACCATGGCACTAACAAAGCCAATGGGTTTTGAGAGCTTGGCGGTCTTTTCCTGAAGCTCCAGGAAGGTGGCGCTGGCAAGCGCAAGCCCTCCGACAAGGCAAGGAGTTGGCGTTTATCATCAGCGTGACGATGTGACGATTTGCGTGAGAGGTGCGTCCAGTGGATCGAGATATTAGAGGTGAAGCCAAAAGATCTTGTCGCGTTCAGTCGTCACCCTATTTTCTTACCTCTTTCGAAAGTGGAGAGTCGCCACTTTCGTCACCTTGACCAAGCTTAGAGCCTGAAATTCTGAAAGCTTTCAGTCCTCGCCATGGGAGAAGCAGAACCCGCGTCGCGGGTTGGCATCTTCAACTCCAGCTGCCTGTGCGGGGGCCAGGCGCCTTAACTCGAAAATGCCGACCTGGGTGGGGGGGGGGACCCATGGTGGATGGCCTTGTTGGGTTTCCTGCAAAACCATAAGACAGGGGACCCTCAAAAAAAGGCAACCACCACTCAACATTGGATGACTTTGCATGCGATGCAAACAGATAATCTGCAATAGATCATGTGTGATTCTCCTGGCGTTCGATGTCACCAACTGGGCAGACACCGCGCAAGTTCCGAACTCCCAAAGCTCAAGCTGGAGCCTTAAGAAAGACCGCCTTCTTTTGCACCGTGGGTTTCTGGAAAATATCAATTAAGTTGTTCTTTTGATTTGACCCAATCTTTGCGACTTTCTTGAGAGGCCTTTGGGTTCTTGGTGGGGGGAGGTTGAGGGGGGTGTTGGGGGAAGGCCGGATTTCGGATTTTCCACTCCCTTTTTGGTAGCAAAGCGCAATTTGAGGTGCTGCACTTCCACGTGGTGCGGCTGCAGGGCTCGGTTTTGATGTGGGTGGGGTCGCAGCTGAAGGGGCTGGAGGACCTGCAAGTGGCAACCCCTACGCGCTTCGACCCCATGCCCACGGTGGCGTCCCTGCGGGGGGAGACGGAGGGCAACGGGAGCCAGCTGGCCCAGAAGCTTTCCCGCCGCTTCCAGGAGCCGGAGCGGGCAACCCCGCGCGTTGGTGTGTGTGTGTGTGTGTCGTTTTTTGGGGTGGGGGGTTCGGAGGGGGGATTGTTGGAGTGTCTCGGAACGCTGGACAGCCTTGTGACTAAGTATTTCAAGGGAGACGAAAAGGAACTAAATAGCTGGATGGAGTCTTCCATTGTGAGCATCGCGAGCATCGTGAGCATCATGAGTTGTTTGTTTGTGTGTGTGTGCGTGTCTTTGAGTTGGCACCGTTTTGAGCTTGATCGTTGCGAATAGCAAAGGAAAGGAAACACGCACGCACACACGCACACACACACACACACATCTTCAAAACAGGGGACTCTGGCAGTGCATTTTCTGTTCTTTTTTCTACCTGTGTAGATTGTGTGTTTCAGTTGTTCTTGAGGGATGTGTGTCAATTTCTGTCTTTTCTGCTGTTCTATTGCATTCCAGCGTTTCCACAAAAACTCGATAACCCCCCGCCCCCTCCGAAAAAGAAGGCAACCCCCAGTTGGATCAGCAGTGCCCAAAAACCTCGAGACAACCAAAAGTACCAATACCAAACTTGACAGCAAAAATAAACTAGGCTCTCACTGTGCCAAGAGTTCTGGGAGAATGTGTCTTTTTGGGTTTGTTTTTGTTTTTCCAGTATTGTTTTGTTTTTGCTTTTTCTTATTCTTTCTTTTGCCGTTGGGCAGGGCTGATCCGTTGCATGTGTTTTGTTGACAGGCATTCCTACTGAAAGTTCCAGTTTAAAATGGACATTTGTGTTGAATTAATTGTGTTTGAATGCTGACTGATTTGCAAATGATAGTCTATAGGAACGGACATCCTGTGTAATATGTAATATGTAAATTGTAATTTGAAACATAATAAGTCTTAGTTAAGTTCTGAATTTGATTGTATATAATATATATATATATATATAGATTTTATATATACATATTGTAATTGGATTTCCTTGTCAACTTCTATCTAAGCCCGAATTGAATTGTGCCGTTCTATTTGGCAAGCAATTTCTATCTAAATCATAAACTAATGGTATAATTTCCATAATAGGAGTCGGAAGCCGTATTTCTGTACTGAGTTCTATCTGAATTCTATTTAGATTCTGAGTTTCAAAGAGCGGCCGTTGGTGGAGATGAACATGTAGCATGAAAACCGCTACAACACACTGTGCATTGCTGTGTTTCTGCTTATGAAATTATACTTGGCCTCCTTATCTAATTCTGTTCAAAATGTAGCTGCCTTTAAACGAATTTAATCAGGACGGAATCCAATCAGGATTTCTATTTCAACTAAGAACTCAAATCTATATTTGTTCTATTTCAATTCAAACTTTACACACGATTTCCTTTCCAACATATTTTTCTTTACAAATGACTCAGCATTTAAGCACAACATTACAGACTTGCATGCACAAGCAGACCACACCATAGCAAACAGTGAGCTGCCACAGTCCCCTGCCCTCCACAGCTTTTGGGCGCCCTATTTTGATACCTACCCATGCGTGAATTTCTATTCCAAAGGTCCCTGATTGAAACGACTCATACTCATGTGGCTGGGTGATGACTGATGGTTCTTGATGCTTCTTAAACTATGTGTTCGAACTTCACCACACGAAGCTCATGGTTGAAGAGCTGTGATGAGTGGAGGTAGTGACTCACCGAGTAGGCAAGGTTGGGGTGTCCCTGGCATTGCGCCTCGGGCTTATTTCCCTGAGTGTTCGGGTTCGGGTAGGTCCCAGTCTTCCTCAGCTTCAACCTGGAGGCAGAGCCCGAGGCAATGCTAGCGGTGCAGAAGGAGAGCACCCGCCTCCTCAGCGAGATCTTGGGCCCACCGGGCCCACCTGAGGCAGCCCCGGCCTAGCCAAAGGTCGGGAGGTTTTGCAGCCAAAGGCAGCTGCGGGAAGAAAACAGATGGTGGACGCTGGAGGGCTTGCATGGACCTGCCTGATGAAGTGTTCGAAGTGGCAGTGAAGAGCCATTCCACAGGTCTTGCGGCTGGTGGATGAGATCATGTCCCTGACATTGATCGAGGTCGGAGTGCACTGCGAATGATCAGGGCTCTCGGTTCCAACCACCGGCATGGCATCACGGTTTAGAACACCTGAGGGCAGCCCCGGGTCTACACTCAAGCATGTCAGACACTCGTTCGGACGTGCAAGGCAGCGGACCTTTGCGATCTGTGTCAGGAGCTGGGCTCAGCTAGCTCAACTTGATGTTCCATTCAGAAGTGGTTCTAACGCCTAAGGACTTTTGGTCGTTGAGTTTCCTGCCCCTTCCAGCTTTAGACTCCATAGGAGAAGCTGGCCCCTGGAAATGGAGCGCCCATCCCTGGACGGATGCCGCCAGGGCTCTGAGAGTCGGGACTGCCACGATATCCTTAGCCTAGGGACGTCCCCTTAATGAGTCATTTGGATGGCCGACTGCGCATTGGAATTCCAATTCGGCTGAGCGGCTTCCGGGCAGTGAGGTTCCCGCATCCTATGGGAATGTTCCCCGGCATGCCCATGCCGGGCGCCGCTCGGCCGCAAGTGAACAACTCAGTAGGACGCTGGGAACTTGGCAATTGGCTCAAAGGCTTGAAGGGTGTGGGAAACTCAAGTGCGCAACGCTTGGGTGGGCCGACCATTTCGGTGGTATCGAGTTTGCGCGTAGGCTCATATCCGTCTCTGGTGATAATCTTGTCGGTTCACAGTGCTGCCCATGTCAATCTCAGCTAAGGCTATGCCAATGGCTGCACCGGCACAGGCGCAGCCTCAGGCGCTCGGGCAAACATGTCACCTGGATCGCCAGTTGCTGTTTTTCTCCATGCACTGTACCCCCAAAACCAGCAACAGTGACTGAAAGAAGCAGCAACTTGGCTATCTAGGCAGATTGTTTGGAGATTGGGGCCTTCTAAACGGGACTTTTAAAGGGGAAGCACCGAACTTGGACGCGTTTCGGTCTCCAGGCGCAGGCGCAGGCACCTGCAGAGGCGCCCGCCGAGGAGGCGCCGGCAGAGGAGCGCGCAAAAGAGTCGACTTCGGCTTCTTTGAATCTTCTGTGTCTCTTTCTTTTGAAAGTTGGTAGGAGGTGAAGAAAGAGGAGAAGAAGAAGGATGTTTACACCATCAAGCTGGCGCCGTTCTTGGTCTGTGGCCGCGCTGGCTCACTGTTGCCCTGTGTGTTTTGCACTGGCTTCAGCCCAGTTGAGCTTCGAAGCTGCGAAGAAGATCAACGTCGTGAAGGAGGCCGCCTTGAGAGGAACCGTGTGCCCGGCGTCTTCTTTGGCCTTGCAGGTGCGGGCCATTACGAGCATCGGCCTGAAAGAGGCGAAGGCTCGACATCGACTCTCGGTAGTTCCATTGGTACCATCGATGTTTCGGCAGGAGCTTGTGGAGAGTGCACCCAAAGTGGCCGGGCGCCTGTTGTGCTGCGTTCCATGCAAATCTGCACCAGCCACCGGCCACGTGATGAGCACAACACGGCCATGCGTTTGAAGAACTTGGCAAACGGCCTGTCGGCCGGTGCCTTCTCACAGGTCAAGAAGGGGGTCCCTGCAGCCGATGCAGAGGCTGGCCTGCGATTGGTGTCTGAGCGAGAGTCTGTCGCAAAGTTGGGAAGCCCCTGAACATCGGCGTTTCCCTCTAACTTCCCTTTAACATCGGATCCAGTCCTCGCCAACAAGCAGATGTGTCTTGGATGAGCGTTGCAGGCCCTGCGAGACAAGCTGGTGGCAGTGGGCGCAGAGGCGCGCGAGTCAGGCTGCTTGAAAGCTGTGAAGCCGACGCTTGGCCAGGTTGCCCTGGAGTGAGTTGCCAACTTTCCTTCGGCCTGCGCCAAAACTTTCAAGGGACCGCGAGCGACAATTTCCCCTTTGCAGCCCCCTTGGTTTTCACTGGCGCGGCCTTCATCTGGATGCCGACGGATTCCGAGCGAGGGCAAAAGAGGCTTCCAGACAGTTTCCAGGGCTCGCAGCTTGTTCAGAGTTCAGCCTCGCCTCTTCCGGTGCCGCTTTTAACAGCCAAAGAGTCGAACGGGGCACAAGTGCGGACTCGAGATGGAAGAGAAGTGTGAGATTGATGGAGAGCGCCTGGGCAAGATTCTCCGTTCGGACATGGACTTGCGATCATTTGCAGGGCTCGCTCTTTTTCTTCACCCTCCAAGCTGGTTGTTTTAATCATTCCTTTTCTTAACCCATAAACGCTGTTTTGGAACCCTCTACAGGAACCTTGTTTTTCTACCCCCCAGGAATCCTTTCGATCCCTCACCTTGGTCTTTCACCCGCCACCTTGTGCTTTTCACCATCGACCTTGGTTTTGACCCTTCCTTTTCACCCCCAATCTTTATGTTTTAAACTCTGTTTAGGCCTTCTTTTTCCTGTCTGCTTGGTCGAGCTTTTGCTGCTTGAAAACCTCATGACGCAGAATAGGGATGAGTTCTCGAGGCACCTTTGCCTAATTGGAGTCGGCTTGTCCAGCCAAAGCCTAGCAAGATCTATATGACCAGCCCTCACCCTAACCTCAACCCAAACCAACTCTAGGCCCACTCCAACCTAAACCACTCTAAACCACCCTAAACCACCCTAAGCTTAGCCCAACCCCAATCCTAGCCACCCCAAACCAACCCTAAACCGAGCCATGCACATGCCCTCAACCATCCCGAAGCTACACCTATACCAGCCCTAAACCAACCTCAAACCTGCCCCTAAACACGCCCTAAACAAAGCCCCCTAAGCAACCCCTAAGCCAACCCCAAACCTTCGGAGCTTCCAATTTGGAACTTGTGGATTTACAGGTCCCAGGATCATTTTGGAACGTGCAGGTTCTTACTCGTGCATCCTTACCAGATGAGCTGACAATTGCTGCGCCTGCCACGAAATCCAATTTTAACACACTTACCACTCAAGAGGTAGCGCGGGACTGTGGCGCCAGAATGTCTTTTCGACCGATTTTGCCAAACTTCAAGCTCACCACAACGAGCCGATTGTATGACAAAAAATGCCACTCGCGCAGACGCTTGCCCACACATTTCAAGGAAGACACCTCAAAACGGTCCCTGGAAGCAAACGCGCAATCTTCCAAAACACAGCGCAGCGAGATGGCACGCAGCGCCGCACAAACTACGATTTACGCACAGACACAATCAGAGCATATTTGCGCAATCCAGGCAAATCGCACATTCCCAGCCTTCCCCAACGGCACAGCCTTATTCCCATGTTGTGGACGGTTGCGAAAGGTTGCGAACCCTGCCGCAACAAGTCGCGAGCACGACCTTCACCCCCATACTCCGACTTATAAACGGGAACCGTTCGCTACGCATCTGGGAGAAAATAACTGTTGGACAAATAGTTTGGAGGGAGGGAACGGGCTTCCCTTGTTTGCAAGTGACCTTGCCTTTTCAGGCCTGTTTGACTATTGAGCAGATGGTTGTTGCATCGGCATATGGTAAGTATTTTCAGTCCTTTTTTTTTTGATTTGCCCCGGCCACCAAACAAAGAAAACCCTGCCTCTCTTTCGCTTTCGTTCTGTTGGGCACCCCGTCGACTTGTCTCATCGGAAGAGCAGCGGCAGAGAACCAATGACAATGTCTTGCCAAATCAACACCCAACAGCTCGCCGGGACCTGCGTTGAGAAAGCATTGTCGTTAATGTTTCTCCCGCCCTGAGGTTCTACGAAATTGTTGAAGGCGAAGAGCCAGAGGGATGGCTTTCAGGGATAAAAAAAAAGCTGCAGGGTTTGAAGATCAAGGCGGGCAACTGCATCCCGGCTGCCACTGGCACTCAGTTTCCCCTTTTGTTGGGCAAGTCAATCAATCGAAGGAAAGGGGATGCTACTTTTTCGAACATAGCAATCTGGGCTGAGGCATTGGCACCATATGGAAGCAGCTTGTGATCTTGTTTGTCACCTTCTCTGTGGCCTGGTCGATCCCTCTAGCAGTGTTCATGGTGCTGGGGAGGACGGTGGGCTTCGTGGACCCGTTTTTCGCCGCGGTGGCTTCTCTCGTGTATGCTGATCCTAGGCGCGAAGACATATCGCGCATGTGGGACAGAATTCGATGCCGTTTGGGAGTCTAATTCAAGCCAAGGGCTGCCAGGCATGAGCAGTAAATATGGTGGTCAAAAAGAGGCATCACACAGCAGGCGTCAAACAGGGATGATGCGAACCCCGCACAGTCGTCGTCGCCAGCCGGCTTACCTCCTGAGCCCAAAGATCGCTGCTAGAGGCTGAAACCAACTTAAACGCGACCGTCCGACTAGCCTACTACGACCGAAAGCCATTCGAATGGGCGCCGCGACTGGCCGACGGCGATATTAACTGGGTGTTGTTTTGGCAACGCAAATATTTGTCTGAGTGGTGCAATGATATCAGTTTTTTTTGATGATGTAGTTTGTGCCACTTGTGTGATATTTCGAAGAGCCAGCGCCTCAGAAGTGGCTTTCGACACTTAACGTATTTTCTGTTGCCGGCGACTCGCCCCGTAGGGAGATGTACTTGCAGCACCGCATGACGGCGTTGGAGGGGTGGATCCTGAGCAACATCCTCTTCCTTCAGCGCCGCATGTTAATCGCCATTGCGGGGCCCATCTTCGCCGTGGCGATTATATATAAGAGCAAGGCCTTGGCCGACCGGCAGCTGCGCCGTTGCTTTGCTTAGTTGGCTTGCCCACAATGTCGCGTTGCATCTTTGCTTGCAGATTGCAGGGGGCCTGGTTGCGACAGGGCTTGACAGACTTGAGCCAATTTCTTGAGAGATGCAACTCCAATCGTATTAGCCCCGTGGATTTTTGAATCGCTGCAGCTGTTGGAGTTTTCGCTTTTGGGGATAACACCCATACGCAGTTACACAATCTAGGAAACTAACACGTGCCAAAGTCAAAGAATAAACCATAGTTTATGGTGGTTTGACGTGATCGGGCAAAAGTCGGTGCTCCAAGCTCTGAAAAGGTCCAAGCTTGCTTTGGAACTCTATTCATCTATTCGACTTGCTGGGTTGCAAAGAACAACCTCCGGTTTTGGGTGTGCCGGGGGACTACGAGCGCCAAGACACGGAGATGCGCCCCATTGCAGTTTGACCAGGGTAAAGCCACATTTTGGGAGCGCTGGACTTGATGCGTTGCAGAGCAAGTTCCGTTCTTTTGGTGGTTTGGACGGGGCTTCGATTCCAAATGCCACCGTCGCTAGTAAGCAGGGTCTATTTTGCTTTCTTGCCTACTTGGCATCTCTGAGTCTTGCTGGCTTGTTTTGATGGTTGTTGGCGGTCGAAGTTCGCAACCTCAGCTTTTCAACTCAACTCGTCAGGATATGCCTTCCCCAACTAACAGTCCCTCATTGTGGGAAAGGTACCACGGACCCGATCAGGATTGGCCGAAAAGGGTCTCAACCATGGGAAAGAAGCGCTACTCTCTGGCAGGAAAGGGTCTGCCCATGCCAACCACTGCGGCGCACAACTACTGAAGCACAGGCTGGAGATGCCTCCGGAACTCCACTTGGAAACTGTGGAATTGGACGCCACCGCGCGTCACCAAAACTGTTCCGCCTGGGGCTTCAGACAGGGCTCTTCACCGCGCCGCTGCAACCAAACTCTGCAGACGCTTCCTGCCACTCAAAGGCTCCAGGAACCAAGAGCTCGCAACTTCCTGCAGCATTGCAGAGGCTGCAGCATCACCCAACCGCCGGAGGAGTGTCCGGGTATGCTCCCGCGGAGCGGGTCCTTCGCGCAGGCCTTCCACGTCCGCACCGCAGCCCGGGCCCCAACCGCCCCGCCCCCGGATGCCCCAACGCTTCCCTGCCCAGTAGTCACTGCCAGCCCCCCATGTCTGTCCTGGGAAGAAGTCCCGCCTTCTCGCCCTCGGTGTGCCGCGATGGCAAGCACTGACCGCAGGCGAGCACGGTTCTTTGGTCTAACGCTCGAGCTCCACTGTGAGTTCCGTCGTGTTTTCTTGGTTCATAGACTCATAGGTGCCGTTGTCAGTCCTCTTGGTTGAAAATTAACCTGCGCCGTATATGTTCAATGCACACCCAGTTGGATGTGCGGGCAGCCAGTTGCAACTTACGTTGGGTCTTTGCCTTTTTCTTCGCCCCTCCCCCGCTTTTACCAAAAGCATATCTGACGTTTGGGTTGCCGCTTGGTTGGAGCGGTGACGTAGGGCTGCTTTGTGGCCGTTGTTGTTTTGCTTGATGGGGTCCGCGTGCATGCTCCTAGCGTTTCTGTCGCATTCTAGATCCACGTGAGGCTTGCCATGCAATCGCAATCTCTCCCCGGTTTAGTGCGTGCGCGCGCGCGCGGGCAGTGGGTCGCTTAGGCGTCGCGCGAATGGTTCGCTTAGGGATCGCGCAAATGGATCGCTCCGGGATCGCTTTTTGCAGAAGGCTTATCGCGCATGCATGCGTGTTGATATGTTTTCCTGGCGATGTATGTTTATATACGCGCATGCGCGAGCAGGAATGCGCTTGTTTGTGCTTGTTGGCGTGTATATCGCATGACATATGTGACGTGTATGTTTCATGACATATGTTACTATGTATGCTGGCGAGTCCATGTATGTGGTTGTGTGCATGCGTGTTGAAATGTCAGTGGCGGACCCTTCCATTTTTCAGAGGTCGTATGTGGGTCCTGTTTTGGTTAGATGGTTGCGATCCTGTTAAGCACGACCCCCAATGAAACCAAACAAGACCACATGTGATGCGGTATCATCCCCCCACCCAACCCCCCCCCCCCCAAAGCCATGTTATTTTGTAATCCGGTAGAAGAGTTGAGCGGATATGCTTATCATCCCACCCAGCCCCCCGCCCCAGAACCATGTTATTTTGTAATCCGGTAAAAGAGCAGGCTGGTCTGCAGCAGTTGAGCGGGTGTGCCTATCATGCCCCCCACCCAAGCCCCCCCCCCCCAGAACGATGTTGTTTTGTACTCCGGTAAAAGAGCAGGCTGGTCTGCAGCAGTTGAGCGGGTGTGCTTGTCATGCCCCCCCCCCCGGCCCCACCCTGTTACTTTGTAATCCGGTAAAGGAGCAGGCTGGTCAGCAGTTGAGCGGGTGTGCTTATCATACCAACCCCCCCCCCCCCCTCCCCAGAGCCATGTTACTTTGTAATCCGCTTCCCCCCCACCCCCTCCCCAGAGCCATGTTACTTTGTAATCCGGTAAAGGAGCAGGCTGGTCTGCAGCAGTTGAGCGGGTGTGCTTATCATTGCCCCCCCCCCCACCCCCTCCCCAGAGCCATGTTACTTTGTAATCCGGTAAAGGAGCAGGCTGGTCTGCAGCTGTTGAGCGGGTGTGCTTATCATCCCCCCCCACCCCCTCCCCAGAGCCATGTTACTTTGTAATCCGGTAAAGGAGCAGGCTGGTCTGCAGCTGTTGAGCGAGGGTAAAGGAGCAGGCTGGTCTGCAGCAGTTGAGCGGGTGCGCTTATCATACCAACCACCCCCACCCCCTCCCCAGAGCCATGCTACTTCGTAATCCGGTAAAGGAGCAGGCTGGTCTGCAGCAGTTGAGCGGGTGTGCTTATCATCCCCCCCCCGCCCCTCCCTCCCCAGAGCCATGTTACTTTGTAATCCGGTAAAGGAGCAGGCTGGTCTGCAGCAGTTGAGCGGGTGTGCTGTCATCACCCCCCCCCCACCCCCTCCCAGAGCCATGTTACTTTGTAATCCGGTAAAGGAGCAGGCTGGTCTGCAGCAGTTGAGCGGGTGTGCTTATCATACCATGAGGGCAACCAAACAATGTTGTACATCGTTTCCAGAAGGAGGTATATTAAATCAGTGTGCGCTAAAAAGCGGTCTTTGAAAAACATACGAGTATCTCTATAAAGCCGTAACGAGGTGTTGTGCAGTGTCTGTGTGTCAAAAACAGCCTGGGATAACCCCCCCCCACCCCCTCCCCAGAGCCATGTTACTTTGTAATCCGGTAAAGGAGCAGGCTGGTCTGCAGCTGTTGAGCGGGTGTGCTTATCATCCCCCCCCCACCCCCTCCCCAGAGCCATGTTACTTTGTAATCCGGTAAAGGAGCAGGCTGGTCTGCAGCTGTTGAGCGAGGGTAAAGGAGCAGGCTGGTCTGCAGCAGTTGAGCGGGTGCGCTTATCATACCAACCCCCCCCCACCCCCTCCCCAGAGCCATGTTACTTCGTAATCCGGTAAAGGAGCAGGCTGGTCTCCCAGAGCCATTTTACTTTGTAATCCGGTAAAGGAGCCGGCTGGCCTGCAGCTGTTGAGCGGGTGTGCTTATCATCCCCCCCCCCCACCCCCTCCCCAGAGCCATGTTACTTTGTAATCCGGTAAAGGAGCAGGCTGGTCTGCAGCAGTTGAGCGGGTGTGCTTGTCATACCAACCCCCCCCCGCCCCCTCCCCAGAGCCATGTTACTTTGTAATCCGGTAAAGGAGCAGGCTGGTCTGCAGCTGTTGAGCGGGTGTGCTTATCATCCCCCCCCCCCACCCCCTCCCCAGATACTTTGTAATCCGGTAAAGGAGCAGGCTGGTCTGCAGCAGTTGAGCGGGTGTGCTTATCATACCAACCCCCCCCCCTCCCCACCTCCGTCATCAATGAATGTGATCCCTAAGTGATCCGTGAATGTGATCCTCAAGTGAGCGTGTATCCCTAAGTGACCGTGATCCCTAAGTGAACCGTTTGAGCGATCCCTAAGTGACCTGTTTGCCCGCGCGGGCCCCTGGGTCCTGAACGCAGTTTAGCAGATGCATCACGGGAAACATGTTCTTGTGTTTGGTTTTTGGTTCCCGGGGTGACCTTGTTTCAACTCGCTTGAGTGTCTTGAGGCTTACAGTTCCGGGACTATTGGAATCAGGCGTGGCAGACGCTGCAAGGCCTACAAATTAATACGTGGATCTTCATGTTGGCGCAACAGCTGGTAAACTCCTTTGCCTACTTGAGCCTCGCGCCTCTGGCGTCTTGGTTTAGTTGAGTGACTCAGTTCTTGCTTAGCATTTGCTCAGAAGGTTTGGCTTGGTGGCTTTGGTTGTTGGCTGGTTGGTCGGTCGGTTGGTTGGACACTGTTTTAAGCCGGTTTGCAGTGCAAGGCAGGATCTCCATTTTGCATGGTGCAGTAGTGCCACGTAGTGGCCGGTGTTTAGGATCAGGGTGGCTTCGGCGGGTTAAAATGAGTTTTGGTTGTTTTGAAGTGCTTCTGCTTGGCTGCGGGTTGCCAAGGGGCCGTGCCAAGGGGTGTTGAATTGGGTGATTTCGAGACTTGCTGGGATCCACAGAGGATCAGACCATAGGCTCATCAAAGCCTTGGCCGTGCTATAGACAAGTGCATAGGGTCGCGGTTTGCCAGTCTTGAATCCAAGGGTAGAAGTACATATCTTGGCTTCCCTGGTTTCCAACCCGCTTTATAAGTGATATATATATATATATATAATATACCCCTTTTGGGGAGAGGGGTATGAGCGTCAGCAGGCCTTTTGGGTTCATTTGCCCAAGGGGGTATGTAAAAGGGGCATGTACAAGCACCTTGGATTGAAGGTACGGTTGATTCTCGATCGCGATCAGAGCAGGCAGGGGGCGGGGAGGGGCAAGTGCAGACTTCAGGGAAACTTCAAACGTGGCCACCCGAAGGGAAACCAACCCCACGAGTCCACAGCGTCCAGCAAAAGGGGGTTGGCAGAATTTGGGCAAAGGGGTGAATATAATGGATTGCCCGCATTGCAGCACCATTTGTTCAGAACGCCTAGCAATTGAACAACATCCCAAGCTGCCTTCGCCCTGAGTTCACAGGTTGGGCATTGCCATGCTGATAGTCTCGGGTCTGGGCCTGACGACTGGTCTGTGCACGATGGGCTGCTGGCTGGACGTCTCTTGGGTCGACCTATGCAGCATCAAGAGCATGACCAACACGATCGTGATCGGCGTGCACTTCTTCCTGCCTCACTATCTTGCCTTAGGTCGGCAGAGCTACAGTGAAATCATCCTCCTCATCCACATCTTTCTGCTGGTGCTTCAGTTTGATTCCAAGATCCAACTCGTTGAGGGTGAGGAATGGAATGCCGTGGTCACGGGGCATTCGCTCTTCATTTTCTTTGTGGCTATTATGTTTCGTGAAGCCATCTGGGTCGATCTTACTACCTTTGCCGCATTTGCACAGGCGGAACATCGAACATAAGTGGGCAATTCGCAGCCATCCCCAACAGGATGCCAGCACTGAACATGAAGTCTGGGTGTCATCTAGAGTCTAGAGTAGAGTCTGAGTCATGACTCTTGAATTCTCTCTGCAGACGCGCAGCTGGACTGAAAGAAGGACTCCTGCTTGGGTTTCGAAGCACGGGGTCAAAGAGGTTCCAGTTTCCATGGTTCGCAGATTGTTCAGCGTTGCCTTTGGCTCGACAGCGTAGCGGGCAAGAGGCGAAGGAAGACACGGAGAAACGGAGACATGACCGACTCCCCGAAGCGTCATCGCGGACCAAGTGAGACCGAGCCCCAGAGCGAGCCCCTGCCCAACGATTTCAAGGAAAAGGTGGTCGACAGTGTGCCAGTCGAGGTGGTGCTGGCGAACGGAGTTCAGGTGGAAAAGAGTGACTTTGGCTTTGGCACGTGCCTGGGCCTTATGTTGCGTACACCCTCCCAGCCCAATTTTGCCGCATTGCCAGATCCTTCCTGGCCAAGCAGTTTGAAGCTCGGGCAGTTGCACTCAATCCATGTCAGAGGTTGTTTCCTCCTTCATGCATACTTCCAAAGGCTAGCAGATGAGGATTGCAGTCTCGTTTCTGCAGTGGAGGGGTCCTTTGTTTGACAACCAACACCAAACGGATGTGTGTCTCTTGCCGGGGCGGGGAGTCAGCCTGGCACCTGGAGTCTTCTCAGCCTCAAGGCCCATGTTTCCGTAGGGTGACGGCTCAAGCCGGAGCCACGTAGATCTGCCCTGTCTCGAGCCTCTCTTGGACCTCTCGACACTGGACTCTGTGGACTCCCTCCACACTTTCGACCCATTTTCGACCCTTTTAACCCTCTTCACTCCGCTGCCCACCGTGTTTCACTGGGCGTTTGTTCTTCACCGACCTGTTCCCTGACTTCCTTTTTCCTTTGGCTCTTGAGTGCACAAGAGCTTAGGTGGCTGCTGGTGGAGGAGGAGGAGAAGATCAAGGGCTGTCTGTGCGAGCTGCTGGTCTTCTCCTGCTGCCTCCTGGCGGGGCTGGTGACGCTGCCGGGCCTGGCGGCGCTGCTGGGGCTGACGCTGGGCTCCTCGGAGGCCGTGCTGGTGGCGCTGGGCTGCCTGCTTGGCACCTCCGCCAGGCGGGGGGAAGTTCCTGGAGCGAAGGGGCCCACAGCGGGAAGAGAGCGGCTTGGGTTTTGGTTGGTTGGTTGGTTGGTTGGTTGGTTGGTTGGTTGGTTGGTTGGTTGGTTGGTTGGTTGGTTGGTTGGTTGGTTGGTTGGTTGGTTGGTTGGTTGGTTGGTTGGTTGTTTGGTTGGTTGGTTGGTTGGTTGGTTGGTTGGTTGGTTGGGTTTGTTTGTTTGTTGTGTTGGGTTGGTTGGTTGGTTGGTTGGTTGGTTGGTTGGTTGGTTGGTTGGTTGGTTGGTTGGTTGGTTGGTTGGTTGGTTGGTTGGTTGGGTTTGTTTGTTTGTTTGTTTGTTTGTTTGTTGGGTTGGTTGGTTGGTTGGCTGGTTGGTTGGTTGGTTGGTTGGTTGGTTGGTTGGTTGGTTGGTTGGTTGGTTGGTTGGTTGGTTGGTTGGGTGTGTGTGTGTGTGTGTGTTTGTTTTTTTGCATGCGTGTGTGTTTTTTTTGTGTGTGTGTGCGCGCGTGTGTGTGTGGGTGGGTGGGTGGGTGGGTGGGTGGGTGGGTGGGTGGGTGGGTGGGTGGGTGGGTGGGTGGGTGGGTGATGTTGAGCAGATGAGAGTTTGGCTTGTGTTTGTCCGTTTTTTTTGGGGGGTTTTCAAGACATAGACATCCATTTGCAACTGCCTCACAAATGTGCATATCTACCAATCATTGTTATGTCCCGTAAAAAACCAAGCAAGAACAATCACATATCCGCTTATACTCGGGGGGGGGGTCAAAGTTTGTGCACCCTTTCTTGAACCTCCATCGAAGGAAGCACTTGCTTAACTTGGGATCGCCTTTGGTGTTGAAAGGGAGGTCTTGCTTCCGCTCTTGCTTCCGCTCACGACCCAAGCTCCCAAGCCAAAAACCCCAGCGTGCGGATTTATGGGAAGTTGCCATTTGTTGAGTTTGTTGCATGAAAGATGCTGTTGCGGAGTCGGATGAAGTGTTGCAGACATCTTTTGATGCTCTTTTCCTTGCTGGTTTGAACGAGTCTCAGAGTCAGCATGTTCCTACCTCGTCAGTGCCTCTTCGGTTCGACACCTTCCAATCTCTGGAAGCTCACTTTCATGGAGCACAAAACCGGCGGCTTAGGGTTGAACAGTCTTCAGCCTCCCAGAAGCCCCTTTGATTTCGCTTGCTTGGGCAGCTTCGCTTTTCAGGGTGATGACGCTGCAGCATCGCTTGATGGCGATGCTGTCCTGGCTCTTGCAGTTCCTCCTCTTTCGCCAAGGGCGCATGATGCCCGCCGTTGCGCTGCCCTTAATCTCCGCGGGGATTATATACGTCAACAGGGAGCGGAGCAGTTGCTTGGCCAACTTCGAGACCTTTCTGAGCCGTCCGTGTTTCTTCGCCCCTTGCTTCGTGCTTATTCTGCCCCCAAACCGAAATAGCTGCACGCCAGCGGTTTTTGGTCTCTGAGGCTTGATGGCGGCGGATTGGGTGAATCTCATGGAGAACATGAATTGGGTCATGGGCGTCTTCAACCTCACCAGCCCCCTTGAGAAGATCGGCCAGGAGGCGCAGAAGCTGGTGGCCTCCGTCTTCATCTTCCAGGCTTCGTCTGGTTTGGGAAGGGGCACAGGCGGCTTTCGCCATTTCAACGAAAAGCGCAACGAAGAGGAAGAAGATCGTGCGTTTCCGTTGGTTTCCAAAGAAAGCACCCCGAAACAGAGACTTTGCGGGTTCCCCGTCGGTTGAAACTATCCCAAAGAAAGGGCGCCCAAGCACCTACTCGTGGAGACCGACTCATGCGGGTTGGGATGCATTCAAGTGTGGGTGATGGGTGTTGTGTTCCCCGCCATAAAGGTGAAGAACATGGGACGCCTGGATGGCTTCAGGTGGAAGTCGCATGGGAGTGACGCATGTAGCTCGGGTGAAACTGGGTTGTGAAGCTTCCAGCATCTAGTTCAGAATTCAGCAATGGCCTTTTTTGCACAGCAACTTCTTCTCCGAGGCCTTTCTGAATCCTTGAGCCCTTTGAATTAGTCAGAGGGCAGAAGTTTTCCTATGGTTCCGATTTGGTCCCCTGCTGAGGCAGTGTACAGGGTCACCGGTGCTGTCTACGCTCGCAGCAGCCGCCGGCCGGGGGGGGGGAATGGGGGCTTGTTGGGGAGGAGGCGGGAGGCGCGGCGATGGGTGCAGGATGTTTGGTGCCTGTGACCTCCCGTTGTCAAAGGGCATGTTGCTTCGGAGGCAGTTCCCCTACCTGGTGAACATCATGGGAGGCTTTGCGGGCCTGATGATCGGGTGGGTCACGCGAAACCTGTGGTTCAACATGGTGTCCCTGGCCGATCCATTCAGCCTCAAGAGCATTGTCAACGTGACTCTGATCGGCGTGCACTTCTTCCTTCCAGGCTATTATGCCCGCCGGGCCCTTCCAGCAAACCCGGGGGACGCCAGTCTAACTCTCCTCTTGATCCACTTCCTTCTTCTTGCGCTCATGTTCGATGAAAAGAGCCAGCTCGTGGACACGAGTGGGCAATGGAATGCTGTGGTCACGGGGCATCTGCTCTTTCTCAGCTTGCTGGCTTTCATGAGCCGTGACGCCATTTCCAATTATACCACTTGAGCTGCGGCATTGTACATATCCAAAGTCATGGCAATCGTAAAATACGGTTTTGTATGCAGCTGGCCAGATCTTCCAAATCTGGCTTTCAATTTGTGCACTTGTCCGACAGGAAGCAAGCATTGCAATTTCAAGTGCTGCAGAAGCAGTGTTCGAGATGAATCTGCAGCCGTCTTTGTGCTTCCCAAGAAAAGGGCTTTTTGCTGCTTGGGCTTTGAAGATTCCTTAACTTGAACCAAGTGTCATGCACGTGATGTGACTGCGCGTGGCTCGCAGAGCTACAGTAGAGTTGCACATGCTTGCAGAGGCGCGTGAATTAATGAGACATGGCCAGCGTTGAAACTATCCCAAAGAAAGGGGGCCCGAGCACCTACTCGTGGAGACCGATTCATGCGGGTTGGGATGCATTCAAGTGTGGGTGATGTTGCTTTCCCCGCCATAAAGGTGAAGAGCATGGACGCCTGGATGGCTTCAGGTGGAAGTCGCATGGGAGTGACGCATGTAGCTCGGGTGAAACTGGGTTGTGAAGCTTCCAGCATCTAGTTCAGAATTCAGCAATGGCCTTTTTTGCACAGCAACTTCTTCTCCGAGAGAGAGGCCTTTCTGAATCCTTGAGCCCTTTGAATTGGTCAGAGGGCAGAAGTTTACCTATGGTTCCGATTTGGTCCCCTGCTGAGGCAGTGTACAGGGTCACCGGTGCTGTCTACGCTCGCAGCAGCCGCCGGCTGGGGGGGGGGAATGGGGGCTTGTTGGGGAGGAGGCGGGAGGCGCGGCGATGGGTGCAGGATGTTTGGTGCCTGTGACCTCCCGTTGTCAAAGGGCATGTTGCTTCGGAGGCAGTTCCCCTACCTGGTGAACATCATGGGAGGCTTTGCGGGCCTGATGATCGGGTGGGTCACGCGAAACCTGTGGTTCAACATGGTGTCCCCGGCCGATCCATTCAGCCTCAAGAGCATTGTTAACGTGACTCTGATCGGCGTGCACTTCTTCCTTCCAGGCTATTCTGCCCGCCGGGCCCTTCCAGCAAACCCGGAGGACGCCAGTCTAGCTCTCCTCTTGATCCACTTCCTTCTTCTTGCGCTCATGTTCGATGAAAGAGCCAGCTCGTGGACACGAGTGGGCAATGGAATGCTGTGGTCACGGGGCATCTGCTCTTTCTCAGCTTGCTGGCTTTCATGAGCCGTGACGCCATTTCCAATTATACCACTTGAGCTGCGGCATTGTACATATCCAAAGTCATGGCAATCGTAAAATACGGTTTTGTATGCAGCTGGCCAGATCTTCCAAATCTGGCTTTCAATTTGTGCACTTGTCCGACAGGAAGCAAGCATTGCAATTTCAAGTGCTGCAGAAGCAGTGTTCGAGATGAATCTGCAGCCGTCTTTGTGCTTCCCAAGAAAAGGGTTTTTTGCTGCTTGGGCTTTGAAGATTCCTTAACTTGAACCAAGTGTCATGCACGTGATGTGAGTGCGCGTGGCTCGCAGAGCTACAGTAGAGTTGCACATGCTTGCAGAGGCGCGTGAATTAATGAGACATGGCCAGCGAGGGGAATCAGATGCCGGAGACGGCTGACACCGGACCAAGTCTTGGGTGGAAGGTTCGGCCATGGCTACGATGTGAGCTTCCAGGCCTGGCTTCCCCGGAGCTTCCCCGGAAGTGCGGGAAAACACAAAGGGGGGGAGAGATTCACTGGCTCTATCCGACTCTCCGAGGCAACAAGGATGAAGGCGGGACCTGCACGCTGCACGATGCTTTGGAGAAGGGCAGGGTGCTGGCAGGGCTCTCTGTTAAGAACCCATGGCTGGGGATTTGCATCCACAGCGCATCCGAACTAAGGTATAGCTTTGCATGTCTGACGCAGCTGGGCGCGGCTCAAGCCTGTCTCTGCCGCGCAGACAGGACACTTGAGGTTCCCTGTTCTCGCAAAGCCAGATTTCTGGCATCATTTTGGAGGGTGTCATCTTTGACTTGATCGCGTAGAAGATTTTTCAAATCCCCCCCCTTTGTGCCTCGAAGACGCTGGGTGTGGCGCAGTGGCGGCTTCTTTGGGGTACGGGGGGTACTTGGCGCGGTTTGGCGCCCGGGAATGGATCCGGCCGATTTGGGTTTGCCGCGGTGCCGGACCTCCGCGTGGAGTGAGATGCGGATGGGATTCCCAAGGAGCAGGCGGGTCAGGAGGCGATTGTGGAGACTCTCTCCGACGCCGACAAGATCGAGGTCGAGGCATCCTTTGCCTCGAGCAGATTAAAATGACCGAGCCGCAGGAGGATATGGAAGAGTGGCTGGCCATTGTTGAATCTGAGTTTGCTGCGAAAGTGCAGCCGATTGAAGCTGATCAGATGGCTGCTGCAGTGAAGATGAATGCTGGCTCTGCTGCACACCACCTGGTGGAGAAGCAGCATGAGAAGGATGCCGAGCAAGTCCTGCACAAAATCAACATTGGCAAGAATGCGGTGGACGACTTTGCCAAGGAAGTGGAACACTTGGCCACCATGTGCAATGCCGCTGGCGAGGCGGAAGCCTTGGGCATCCTGATGGAGGCTGCGCTGACGCTCCGGGATCACGATGGCAAACCCGGTATTGAGGCAGCCTGTTGAGGCAGAAACCATCGCGAGCAACTGGGTGGTCAAAAAGAAATGCGACACCCTTCAGACGGTTAGTTTCGTCTTAATTGCCTCGAGCTGAAACCGGTGTGAAGGGACGCCGGTGCTTCCTGTGGCCCTCAGTGTCTATAACATGACGAGTAAAGCATCTTTTAACGGACCTGCTCTGGTTTAAGCAGATTGGTCAGCGCAGGTCGCCTGATTTGGACTGAAAGCGGAGGCTCACTGTGATAGCTCCTTTCTGGAGCGGTGGCTTCAGGTGGTTATCCCACTTGCAGGAGCTGGAGTTCCACGCCAAGGCAGCCATGGCGTTGCACGACGAGTCCAACCGCCTTGGTCACCACGTGCGCCACTTGAAACAACACACGGACCACCAGGACGACGAGAAGAGCCGGCCCGGCATCTTCATGAACCACTCTTTGGTGAGCCTCGTGCATGCGAAGTCGCTCTACGTCGCCCATGGGTGATACCCGCGATGCGCACAGTGAGCGCGAGCACATGGCAACACACGAGCCGAGCCATTGGTCTTTACCCAACGAGGATGTCAAAGCCTAGTTTGGCTGCATTTGTACCCAGCGGAGACCTTCTCTGGTTTGTAAGGCGGTGCACGCTGATGCCCTGGCGCACTGGGGAATTGGAGGCCATGATCCAGGAGCATGCAGGAGATGGATCGCAGCCTGACTCCTTGGTGAACACCGCCGGGACGGCCCCGATCTCTGCGATTCAGAGCTATACGAATCACAGCCAAGAGGATTCCCATTGGCCCTTTGTGACAAGCCGCTCTCCTGCAAGGTATGCACTGGCCAAGGCCTTTGTGTCCCCCCCCCTTTGAGGTCTCTGTTGAAGCAGACACCCCGGCCACAGCTGGGGACTTGGCCAAGAACGTGTTGAATGTACTGAAATCGTATGTGCTTCAGTGTGAACTGCTGCGCTTGCATAGGGCTCAATCCTGGGGACTTCCTGAACTTCATCATCTCCCGGGCAGCTGCAACAACCCGCACGTGTTCTTTACCTTGGGCTGTCGGTGTGCTTCGGCAGCGGCTCCGCTTTAGAAATCTTCCAGAAGGATCAGATTTGTATGAGTCTCCCACCATCGAGTACTATCCCTTCACTGGCAACCATGACCCTGCGCCAGCACAAAGAACGATGCGGAGCTGATGCCAGCCTACAAAGTGTTCGGCAGATTCTATGGCCACAACCCAAGCTTGCGCCGTGGTGCACTACAAAACCTCAAACTGCCATTGGTCGCCAGACTTGGCTCAACGAGAGTGCAAGCAAAGGTTTAAGGCCCGTCGCTGGGAAGTCTACCTTCGAGTGAAGACTTACCACCCGTGGAGTTTCCGCATGAAAACCCGCTTTGAAAGGACTTGGACAATGAGCAGATTGCATTTATGTAAAGGCAACACTCACAACACGTGGGATGCTTCTAGATGACATGCGGCGCCGGATGGCACAAAAACGGCTCCATGCTTGGTGTCGTGTAGCTTAAAAAAAACCCTTGATGGAAAGCGGCAAAGGCAACAAGGTTGCGTGGACGATCGCAGGAAGCCGTGAACCAAGCCTACCTTCGACAGTCCGCGGCAAAAGTTGTGAAAAGTGCAATGACTGCAGTTGCATAAAAGTCAGTTACCGGAATTCCTTACGTTCAAATCTTACCAGGAGTACGCCCTACCCTTCCCTTCGAGCGGTTTCCTCACGTGCGATCCAGAACGATTGAGAACGGCTTGCGCGATTTGAAGTGCCTTGACTTGAGCGGTGCACTGCACATGGCTCTCGTGGCCCGGGCTATAGCGTTGCACATGCTAGAGGCACATGAAGTAATGAGACGTGGCCTAGGAGAGTATCTCGGAGCCAAGAAACCGCAAAGCATTTGATGCACATGCCGGAGACGGCTGACATTGGCGGGCCAAGTCTTAGCTGGAAGACTCGATCATGGCTACGATGTGAGCTCTCCAGGCCTGGCTTCATTGCCGGAGCTTCTTTGGAAGTCGGGAAGCGCAAATGGGAAGATTCAGTGGGCTCTATCTGAGTATCCGACAGAACCATCGGCAGTCTTTGGTAGTATTTGGGGCGCCCTGAGGGGTTAGCAGAATCAGCAAAAGACCGCAAAACCGCTAGGGGGCCTGAAAGCCGATAGGGGACTGCCCGACTTCCTTATGGCATTGAGTTTAGTGCAGGATTTTGTCCGCTCATCTGACTCGCCGAGGCAAGGATGAAGAAGGCAGGGACTTGCACAAAGCTGGGAGAAGGGCAGGGTGCTTGCAGGGCGATCTTTGAAAAGCCCAATTTCATCGCTATGACGCGGCTGTGAGGTGGTTCAAGCGGCTTTTGTTCCTGCCGCGCAGAGAGAACCCTTGCTGTCCCTTGTTTGAACCTCGGGGACTTGGGCTCCTACACTTCAGCTCCTCGCCAAGCCAAGCGAAGTGCGTTTGCTCCTCTCTTTTTTTTTCGCGCCGAGCCGCCCCGACGCGCCGGTGACCGGCGGAATTCGTAATTTGCGCCAGCGATGGAGAGTGTGCAGGTGAAAATTCACAGAGGCCATGGGGGCAAGGGGTGGGGTGGGGGGAAGTGGGACCGATGGGCCATGAACTTCTTTGTGCAGTCACCTCTTTTTACCTTTGCACGGCTGATCAAAAGCTAAATGCGCCCATTGCTGAACTCCAAGGGCATAGTGTTTACGGCAGCAATATTGTTTGTGGTACCAGTAGTCTGTTGCAATAGCATGTTCTCAGCGCCGAGCAACCAATGATTCCGTGTTACTTTCCGAACAGTGGCTAATACAATGGACACGGTTTGGAAGGGGATGATTATTTGTTAAAGAGGGTTGGCATGACTGAAAGTAGTGATGGTTTATCCTGAGCACTTCTGGGGCGGACATGGGGACGCAATCCCGAAAAAGGGGGAGGAACATGCGACGTGGATTTCCCATGAACAAACTGGGCTTCCCTGTATATCCATCCCATTTTGCCGTGCTGGAGGTATGTGGCCCGTTCAGTTTTGCTCGGAGGTGCTTGGGACCCTTTTTGCATCCCTTTTGCCCGTTTTCCCCTTCCGGCTGTTTTTGGGGGAGTAGTTTTTTGTGCGTTTGTCCCCTTCCGGCTGTTTTTCGGAGTGCTTTGGGCCCATTGGCCAGAACGGAGGGTTTCCTTGGGCCTCCAGGCCTGGATGGCGACACCCTGCAGCTGTCGCTGGTGCCGGAGATGAGCTTTGCCACGGTGGTGCAGCCGCTTGGCCCGAAGGGCTGGCTCAAGCTGGCAGGGCTCGTTTTGACTTGAAGCCAAGGTCCGCTTTTTCGCGGGAGAAATGGGACTGTGCGGAGGAAGCCGAAGATTGCTCCCTCTACTTCAGATCTTGAAAGCCAAAAGGGGTTTACTATGCAAGGACAAAACAAGCGCAGACTCTATCTCTCTCTCTATCTCTCTCTGTCTCTCCCTCTCTCTCTCTCTCTCTCTATCTCTCTCTCTCTCTCTCTTTCTCTCTCTCTCTCTCTCTCTCTCTCTCTCTCTCTCTCTCTCTCTCTCTCTCTCTCTCTCTCTCTCCCTCACACACACGCGCACGCATGTGCTTTTACACATGTTTGCGCGCTTTAGACACCTTGTCACTCAGTCCTATTTCCAAATATGCAACCAGGTATCCTCAAGCTCCGGGTAGGTGCTGCTGCAATAGAATCTGCCACATCAGTTCAAAGCCAGAACGGACAAAAGGCTGCCAACATGGCTGTCCCCCAGTTCCGGCAAGGGTTTCAGCTACCTCCAACACCCCCAATTATCAGATCGCCACATATCGCCACAATCTAAGTACATGTGTATTTCTCTTAGAGGCAGCGGTTGCTGTGGTTTGTGGAACTTCGCGCCCAATATTCAGGCAGCTGCTGGAACAGATGTCTGCGGAGCCCAGCCTCAGCGCCGTGCTGTCGGCAGAGGGGCTGCGGATCGAAAGCACGGGGGATCTACTGGAGTTCCAGAGCGGCCGAGCTGAAGTCGATCGCCCTCTTTTGAAGTCGACAATGCGGGAAGGCCCTCAATCGGAAGGGTGCAAAGATGGACCCCCATAAATTTCTGTCCAAAGGGTCCCAGTGAAGCTTCATACCCATTTGAGGGTTCCAAGCCCTTGTTTAGTATTGGGTTTAGCTGTCAAGTGCCCTGTTTGAGAAAGAGGGAGGGTCAGGTGTGTTGGCCTGCTTCAGGTTGGGACTTGCCATGAATCGAAGACATGAATTTGACGTTTGAGTAGCAGCGTCCCAGTGATGAGAAGTCCCAGCTGGCTCTTTCGCAGGCAGCTTTAAGGACCAACCTGGAGTCCTTTTGAACAACCATGAATCCTCCACACATGAACCACCCTCTGGTGAAAACAAATTCTTAGACAGGCAATTCTTTGTTGTTTTCTTTATGCACTTTTTGCCCCGGGGCTCCAAGGCAAGGGCAGCCTCATCTTCGCCACTCTGGTGCGACCGGTGGAGAAGATGTCCCTGAGCCAGGCTGGGTTGCCTGACCTGCAGCCCGGAAGCTTGGATTCTGTTTGATGTGGGCAATTCAGGGGGTCAATTTGTGGAAACCGTTCCCAGACCCACCGAGCTGTCGCCAGGGTCGCTTGGGTCAGTTTGACTCTTGCGACCCATTGTCAACATACGAGGCATGCTAGCCGCATTTCATGCGTCAGTAGAGTTGGATGGCCCCGCGCAACGGTCGGGTTTGGTCTCTGAACACTCCGCCAGCAAAGTAAGTCAGAGGTTTCACCTAGCACGTGCTCGGAAAGCAGAAAACATGCGTGTCTGAAGATCCAGGTTCCGTTTGAGGCTTGGACCGCTCCTCAGTGTGTCTACCATTTCTTGCTTGTTCTCAGCATGACGTGTGGTTGAATAACCTGAACAACGATTCTTGGAGAAAGGATCCGTCTATGGTCGGATGCGGGTCATTTAACCGCATTCCATTTTCTGAAAGCCCTTCAGTCTGCAGTTTTTCGTATGATCATGTTGTATATGAAAGGACATCTCTTTGCTTGCCAGATTTTGGATGTGATTTTGTTTCTGGAGTGGGCCTCCCCAGTCCTTTCCACTACTCTCATCAACGCCGTGCTTTTTGTTCGGTTTTGACGCTGTTGGTTTCCGCCCGCCTGGCTTGGGTATGTGTGAGATTTTTGGGAGCCCTTGGATTTGGAGGGAACCGCTGTGCATAAACACATACATGTTCCGTTTTTTCAAAAGGGACACCAAATTGGAGTCCCCCATTGTGACACATCCCCACTTGACCACAATCAAAACCCGTAGATGAAGGTTAGGGACAGTCGCAACCAGAGATAGGTGCGGGTATTTCTGGCCTCTTGCTGCCGTATTACCATGTTTGGGTGGACTTCTGGCCTGGTTTTGATCATGACTCACTTGGGAGTTTCTCCTGGGATTCTTACCCCGCGGTTGGGAATGATGATTCCCCAGTAAATACCAACAAACAATGGAATCCCATGGTTTCAAAGTGGTGCGAAATGATTCCGTCCATCTACAGTATGTCCAGGAAAGATAGGAAACCGCGGCCATGTTCTTTTCGGGAGGTGGCGGAGGAGCTGGCCCTGCCGGACCAGGAGTTCCGGGGTCACCTCTTCGTTCTGTCGAAGTACAAAAGCGGCTTCACGTACAGGGATGTGGCGAACTACCTCTCCCGGAACCAGGCGAGCAGAAAGAGAAGAAAAATCGGTTGGATTGGGCGGCCGCTGTTTTTGTGGGCCAGGGGCCTTCGGAGAGTGGTTTTTCTGAAAGGGAAGACCATTTCCTGGCCACGGCTTGGGTGCGTTTCCTCGCCCTTCGAAAACGTGTCAAGCGACGGTATTTGCGGCAGGTCTTCCTGACGGGGACCCAGGCCACCCAGGTCTTCCACCAGCTGTTGCCAAAGATCTCCGCGCAGGTTCCCGCCCAAACTCCGGGCGGCTTTTCCTTGGATGTCGGAATGGGAATTGGGGACCCTCTGGGCACTTTTGAGGTCAGGGAAAAGCGCAAGGGCGCGGACCAGACACTGGAGCCATGCAGGTTCCGGAGGAGGGGCGAGATCCTGGTCTTCGGGGGCAGCTGATCATGGCGCTCCACACCTTCTGCCTAGACCCCTATGCGATTTGGGAGGCCTATTGCGAGTTTTGGAGAAGATGGCTCCGGGTCGGATGCGGGGATTCTGCCTTTGGGTTTGATTTGAAAGGGAAGCCAGGACAATTCTTAGAGGACAAGCTTGAGAAGAATCCGACCAAAGCGGGAGGTTTGCTTCCATGATGTTACCGTGGAGGTGTAGGAGACAGAAGAAGAGTTGAAGCTGAGAAGGCCAGTTGTTGGGCTGCTTCCGGTTCAGCTCCTTCAGGTCGATGATGGCCAGGCTGAGTGCCTTTGGGCGCATATGGAGCAGCTTGGCCGCATCTTGGGGGGGGCAGGGCTGCGCTTGCAACGCAGAAGCTGCCTTTTCGCGTCCAAAAGGGACATGTTCAAAAAAGCCCTCTAAATGGTGGTTCAAAGGAGATTCCCTCAAAAAGAAACATTGAGAACCCTCAAATCAGGATGCTATAGTTGGTGGTTTGGATTGGCGGTTTCGAGATTTGACCCCCTGGTTCTGGTAGTTGGATGCGAGACCCCACCACCAAGCTACCGGGCTCCAAACCACCCCCAAATCCACCCCCAAAATGGCAGGTACAACGGGCGACACCTGGGCGCCAGCGGCCGCTTCTGCCTGCCGGGTCAGATTTCAAAGAACTTTCTGAAAGCCGCCGGGTCCTTCTCCTCCGAGGTTCAGGACGGTTGAGGCACACGTGTGCGAGGCCGCCTTCTTGAGCTTGGTTTAAAGGGACAGAAATGCATCAAAGACCACCATTTTCGGTGGCCTGTTATGACACATGCCTCGCAAATTTAATACTCTCCCCATTTGCTCCGCGGCTTTCTCGCTTGCCTCCCACTCTCACCGCTTTCTTGCGTGCTTTCCCCCTGTTCCCGGCAGGACGTGTCGAACCTCCGTGGGGTGCTGCAGGCCCGGCGCGAGGGTGGCAAGGAGCTGGACCGTTTGGTGCCGGTGCGATGCAACGGCTTCGACGCGTTGAAGGCCTGAGGCCATACAGTCGCGCCGCGGCGCCGAGTCGACGACTGCGGTACGCGCTCGCGCCGCGGCGCCTCTCCCGGGCGCCTTTCAGATGAAAGGAACGGCGAAAAGTGTACAGATGCCCTGGAGAAGCGGCTGGAAAGGCGGCAAACAGAGAGAGGGGTGCAGAGAACATTGGGGGCCAACAGCGCCATGGGTGGCAAGCATCATTTGCACGCGTCATGCAGCCAGTTGGGCACTTGTATGTGTCAAAGTTATGAGCCCCCCCCCAAAAACGGCAGAAAGGGATGTGGGCTTTTGGGCCTCCTTACTACCTTTGGCTTCTGATCTTCAGAGTTTCAACACGAAAACAGCATTGAGAAATCGAGAAAAGAAACACGCACTCTGATGTTTGGATCTTTCTTACAAGTCTGAGACCGAACAACATCAATACAGTTACAAACACTTTGACAAAGGGAATGTTTGGACCAGTCAGATGCTTAAAACATATTGAGACGTCAAACAACAATCTTCTAGCATATACAGTACAGAGATAATGGGTATGCCAAGAGCTTCCCTTGCCATGTTTTGTCGATTTCTCGATGCCTTGTTTTCTTCTTTTTCCGGTTTTCAATTTCCGCATGCCAACATGTTTCGTTCTTCCCCTTTTTTCTTTCGATTCCTGTATGCATTTTTGTGAAAAAGGAGTTCCTTTCCAAAGAAGGTCGATGACAAATTGTTTCGAGCTAAATGACATTTAATCAGTCAACAGTTCAAGTAGAAACTCAATCTGAAGCTATCGCTTCAATAGGAATTCGTGTCCACATGTTTCTTTTTAAAGTTGATCTAGATGTTGAATGGAACTTAATACACAAATAACGTATTGCTATTTCTTTCAATTGGCCTGCCCCTTAAATGAGTTACAAACCAAGCATCTTGAGAACCATGCAATTTCAGTGAGTTCAAATACTGTAATCAAGTTGAATTCTTTCCGAATCACCTTAAGTGCTGATTAAGGTAAACCAGAGAATTATTTGGCAAAGACGTTCCAATTTAATTCCTAACTTAAGATAGACATGCTAACGATATCTTTTCTCGTTATATATTTTACTCTATAACTCCTTTGTCGCTGCAATAGCTTTGCTGTAAAGTGACCAGTGTCTACATCTGCAAAATTACACAGAGAAACACTCCACTCACAGCATGGCCACCTCGAAGGGTTGGTTTTGTATTGGTTGCCCTTTGCGCCATGCAAAGGGCGGGATACCCCCAAAGCAACTCATGGTCACAGAATCTCGTCTTGCAAAGGTGGCGCAATGGTCAGTCACCTTAGCTACCCTCGGTCGAAGATGTAAAATTTCCGAAGGCTTTTTTTTTCCCTCAGCTTTTCCCTGGTTGTTGGGCTCTGCTCATTGGTTTTTTTCTGCAAACAAAAACATGACAGTTTTCTTTTTCATGAGCTAGGCCTGCGAGAGCAGCGTCCTTTTGCTGGCCATTGCCGGCTCCTGGGTGAGCGTGGGGCTCTCAGGGCCTTTCGTTTCCCAGGCCAAAGGGTTCCCCAAAAAAGTGCGACCCCCACTGCCAGGAATGCGATGAGCCGTTTTGTGTGTTTGGTGTGTTTGGGTTGAATGCTGCGGTCTTGTTTCAGTTGAAAAGGAACTCCGCAAGAGAGAGGCCGGCTGGACTCAGCCACTGTTTGGGGCAGTGCACTTGCGCGGCAAGCTGGCGCTCCATTGTATTCTTGGGCACCTGAGCTTATCTTAACGTGGGATGTCTTTTTCAATCACCTGCTAGAAGGCGGCAAACAAATCACAATTGTCAACAGCTGAAGTGGGCAGAAAGCTTTCCGCCATTTTGATTCTGTACATGCTTTTGGGTAGGCCACAGATGTTGATTTCGGCTCACTTGTGCTCTTGTTGCAAGAGGCCGCATCCCTTGAAACAGATTGTCACGGGGTCTCCTCCGCCTTTCAGTCGTTCTGGCTGCATGTTACAACAAGGACAATGGGAAGAGGATGTTGGTGGACACGCCGCCAGTCAAACGCAGATTGCAGAAGTCAGCTATAGGTGAGATGAACTGGTTTCGTTCTCATCACCTCTCATGAACCTGGGCTTTATAGCTCTTGTGTGTCAGTCAGGAGTTAATTTGCTCAGAATCGTGCTATGCTATTTCTTCCATAATGAGATGAGCCCACGCTTGCTCTGCAACTCAACCCACTCAGCGCATGAGACAGCGGCAATGCTTGCAGACGTGGGTCACCTGGTCTGAAAGATGCGTCTAGGCCGTACTTGCGTTGACAGAACACGTCAACACATGAGCAAATGAACAAACAAGTAAGTAAGTAAATAAGTAAATAAGTAAGCAAGAAAGTCAGTCAGTCAGACAGAAAGTAAGTAGTTCAAAAGCCGACTTATAAACCAACCAAACATAAGCCCTTTACGACTGTTGCAGGCGCGTTCTGCGTTTCAGGTGGCGCAGCTGGCACGCGCGGCAGAGGTGGCGACGCTGCAGCTACAGCACCACACCGCGCGGGCCTCGATGCGTCGATCTTCGCTTCCGCTCGTTGGGTTTGGGCGAACGGATGGCTGTGGGTCAAAGAGGCTTGGGGCACTTGGGGCACTTGGGGCACTTGGGGCACTTGGGGCACTTGGGGCACTTGGGGCACTTGGGGCACTTGGGGCACTTGGGGCACTTGGGGCACTTGGGGCACTTGGGGCACTTGGGGCACTTGGGGCACTTGGGGCACTTGGGGCACTTGGGGCACTTGGGGCACTTGGGGCACTTGGGGCACTTGGGGCACTTGGGGCACTTGGGGCACTTGGGGCACTTGGGGCACTTGGGGCACTTGGGGCACTTGGGGCACTTGGGGCACTTGGGGCACTTGGGGCACTTGGGGCACTTGGGGCACTTGGGGCACTTGGGGCACTTGGGGCACTTGGGGCACTTGGGGCACTTGGGGCACTTGGGGCACTTGGGGCACTTGGGGCACTTGGGGCACTTGGGGCACTTGGGGCACTTGGGGCACTTGGGGCGCTTGGGGCGCTTGGAGCGCTTGGGGCGCTTGGGGCGCTTGGGGCACTTGGGGCACTGGGGGCACTGGGGGCACTGGGGGCACTGGGGGCGCTTGGCGCACTTGGCGCCTTGGGGATGTGTGGTGGGAGGGTCGAAGACGGAAAGTCAGAGACCAAGTGGAAGCCAAAGGCCAACTTTGGGGAAAACCAGAAAACACATCATAGATTCGTCAGTGAGCAGCTTACCGGCCCAGATTCAACTCCCAAAGATTCCGGCGCTTTCCTCCCATGTTTGGTTTCTAGAAGGCAAATTCGCGTGAGGGTTTGCCAAGCTCTTTAGGTGAAAACAAATGGGGGTGTCGAGACCCGAGGGAGCGACACGACACGTGATTTATTGTACATTGGGTAGGTGTGTTCCTAATGACATGTAACATTGTGGCTTCATTTGGACCAGTTGTACTAAACTGCCGGGTTTGGTTTTTGACGCGCACAACGTGGATGTTCATAGCTACACACCTTGTTTGTTGTCTTTGTTTCAACGGGTACTGCGTTCAAGTACCAATCAGTTGGCACCTGGAGCCCTAGCTGCCCGGTTGACAAGTCCGAATGTGCTAAGCGCCAACTGCATGGGACTCATGGACCAGACCCGCTTCGCAACAGTTGATGTATGCCCTATGCAAGGGGTAGCTACGAACCGGTGGGAAGCCACGAGTCGGCAGGTGGTGCCCCTGGTCACCTGGGCCAACTCCACGGCGTGGATCCTGCTGGCCATGCCCTACATGGCCATGAGGCGCGGTGAACCCAAGCAGCTTTGCGAACGGTCCCAGGGACTAGAACGAGGCTACCAGCCTCGGCTGACCTCCACAAATCGGTCACGAAAAGCGGACCAAAGTCCGTAACTTCAAACAGACACGAGAGCCGGCAAACGCGACATAGCAGTCAAACACTCCCACACATTCTGAAAGGCATCCCGCTTGCACGAATTGCAAGGGAGGCCAAGTACCGCCAAAAGCAATGCATCTGTATTCCACAGGCCCGTTCGATGTCGCAGGCGGTCCCGCGGCGCGGAAGGAGAGGTTGGGAGGTTGTGCGATGGGGCGGTGTTTGAATGACCCTTCGGTGAACAAAAATCGGGTTCGTGTTCAACCACTTTAGAGGTCCATTGAAATTCATAGCCGATATGGAGTGCTCTTGTTGAGGGCATCCTGTTCAGGTTAGTTTAAAGGGGAAACCAAAAGGAAGCCAACACTTTTGACACATACCCATATTCCATCCATATTTTGAGGAGTGGGTGTCCCTCAAGCGGTCAAAGCGAGCCCACCTTGAAGGGGGGGAATCCATTCCGACGTGATGTTTGACGATTGAGCAGAAGCCGACCACTTCCGACTCACTGAAAGGCTGTGAGCTGCTGGCCACGGACGCCTTCAAGGCGACGGACTTGGAGACCTGGAAGCCCAAAAACCACGTTTCCGCCGGCGTTGTGGGAGCTGCCGCGTGTTTCTTCTTCTTCTTCTTCTTCTGCGTTTCCCCTGGTTTGCCTCCCTGTGCCCGGGCGACATGTGCGCCAGGCTTCCCAGCCCCCAAGGTTCTTGGCAGCGAGCCTAACCATTGAGAGTAGGGGCGTTGGTTCACCCCAAGAAATGCGGTGTCTTCCATGCCTTAGGGCCTTAGGGGGAGAGAAAGATCCCTCACTTTTGGCATCTTGAACCCAGTTCATCGCACTGACCACCAACTTTAGCTACATCAGTGCCAGGCGCCCAGTTCCCTCGTCGCTGTGTCGCTGTGCTTTCGAATTGATCGCCTGATCCAGGCGCTGCATTACTTGCCTGCTTCGCTGAACACGGCCATCTTCAGTAGTAGTCCAGTGGCGGCCTGATTTCACCTTGGCTCGGCTGAGTTCCATTTTGCCAGGAGTTCTCCTTTGGGAAAGCGAAGCACTGGGTTGAAGTCCACCCTGGGGTCAACAGCAAGGAGGGATCGTGGCATCGAGGTTTTTACGCTGCTCCTCCAGAGCGTTTTCCTTCCTGCTGAAGCAGGCGCCTTCATGGGAGGTCTCTGTTGAATCACATGCGACAATGGAGAAGGCCCCAAGCAGCGCACCACCCAACCTGCCCATTTGTTGAATGCTGAAGAACCACCATGCCAAGAAGTGTCTTCTCCCGAGGAGCGCACCTCAAAATAGGACCACGGAGGGATTCCAGGTCGCTTGGTAGGTCGGTACGTTGCTAGGTGTACAGGTTGCTCTGTCGGTCGGTATCGGTCGGTATCGGTCGGTCGGTTGGTTGGTCGGCTGGTAAGCGGTGTGGCCGTTTTTTTGGGGGGCCCAAAATGGGGGAAGTGGTGCTTAAAAAAGGCATGGCGTTGGTTGGTTGGCTGGCTGGCTGGTTGGTTGGCTGGTTGGTTGGGTGGGTTGGGTTTGGTTGGGTTGGGTTGGTTTGTGACAGGTTTTGACATCTGCCTGTGGTTTGTGGGGCTTTCGCTCCCAATCTGCAGGCCGAAGCCTGTCGCCCGGCTTCGGGGAGGCCGGGAGGCTTGGGGCAACCGGCTGAGGGGGAAGAAACCGGGAGCTTCGGACAAGAAAGTTGCCTGTTTTCGAGGTGCTCTTTGTGTTTCTAAGGGGAAACCAAGAGGACACACTCATTTTTGGGATCCTATTTTGCGAGAAGTCCACTTTTCCTTGGAGGGTAGGGGTGACGCAACCGCAAAAACCAGAGGACCTGCCAATTGCCCATGGGGTCAACTGCATGTTTTGGCGTGGCACACTGGGGCATGCGTCCAAAATGCCTGGGCAGGGGACAGTCACAAACATTAGTAGGTGCAGCCGCCCTGTTGATTCTTTGCACGGGTTTGGGTGGAATCAGACAGTCAGAATTCTTGAATAGAAGATGCTGATCTTGACTTGCTTGGTTGCTGGGGGTAAGTGGGATGGCCATCAACCCCTGTATAGCGAGTTTGCCAATCATGACAATGTATCCTGCAAATGGCCTGCCGGATCATCAGATCGGTTTGTTGTTGAGTCATGCACCGACCAGAGATCCTGCTTGGCTGGATCAAAGGTTGAAAGGTCGCTGCACCAGGGCGCCCTTTGTGATCACTTTTTGGGAGTGGAACAATGCAAACACACACACAGAGGACCATCCAACAGTTTGCGGGTGCCCATTGAGGCAACCCCACATCCGTCCGCCCTTTCCTGAGTTCGGATGAAGAAGCCCTTGCCACCGGAGCCGCCCCTTCGATGTGAACCCCAACTACTCGTCCGCGGTCGGCCGGACGCCAGGTGCGGGCTGCTTTATGCGGCTTGAAGGCTGGTGAGGGCTTTTTGGTTTTGAAACCATTGGAGCTTTGTTGCGTGCGTTTCATTGGTGATCTGGCAGTGATTTGCTAGCCGACTCAGCCGACTGCGCTGCTTCAGCTACTTGCCGTGCTGGCACCGGCATTGTTTCCCAGGTGTGCGCATCAGCACAGCTGAACATTATCAACACCGTCATCAACCTATGCACATCTATCGAGCTCAAGCATCAGAGTCAACGCCCATGACAGCAATATCGTCATCATTTCCAAACGCGAAACCTGGACACCCAGCTTCAGCATCAGGATTTGCATCGCCATTTTATCCAGTCAGCCTCAGGCTCAAGTTCAATATCTTTGCGAGCATCAGATGTCATCCAGACCACGCCACACACACAAACTTCTGCTCCAGCGAGATTGATCTTCCGATTGCACTCTATGCGTGCGTTGGGTTTGTTTGTTGCCAGGAGGAGTTCTTGATCGCGCCTTTGCTGATGGTTTTCAGTTCGATGGTGCTTGTCTCCACAAAAGAATGTGTTGGAAACACTGCCAAACACACTCTGGGCTGTAGGCGACGGTCAGTGGAGGCAACACACATGTGATGATTTGCGACTGCATGTTTTTTCAGCTGAAGCGAGGGATGCACCCCTTTTGCATGACACACACACACACACAACCCTACAAGTGTTCTTTTGGAGAAGGCTGTCTCTGGCCAGGCTTTGAGCGTGATCTTGTCAGTTGCTGTGGGCCTAGTTTCTAGTTCATGTTGATGTTCGAACTCGCAGCCTTTGATCAGTGAGAAGAGCACACAACGCACACAACCGTTTGTTGATTCTATCCCATGCGGCGAATCACATATTCGAGTCAGTGAGTCGAGGTCGGAGTGCTTTTGATCACTGAGCCCTGGCGAGATTCCGAAGGCCGTCGGAAAATTGGAAGGCCGCTGGCCAGGAAAAATCGGTCGAGTATGTGGGCTGTCTGGACCTGTGGATGGGCATTTGGTGATCGGGAGAGCTTGGTCCTGCTTGCTTCACGCATGGGACCCCAAAGACTGTTGGCTTCCATTGTTGTACCTTTCAGTGCCATCCCAAAAGGCCCCCCCCCTCCCCGACTCTTGGGGAGGGGACATGCATGTGGATAGGACTGTTCATGGGGAAGTTGGTGGACACAAATCCCTAGGCTGTCCATGAAGGTAGCCACGAGTCGTGCGGTAGCAGGCGACGATGGCCTGGACAAGCGATCCAGGACTCTGGACGGTGTTGGGGTGGAGTGGCATGGTTCACCTGGGAGATGCGAGTTGAGGGTACCCTTTTGAAATTGTTTGAAGGTTAGGGAACTTAGGAAACCACTTGTGAGGGCTCCCCTATCTTGAGACAACCCCGAACTGTTTCCGAAAAGCCCGGTGAATCGTCTTCTGGTGTCCCTTTCCCGAACAGGGGATCCCCAACTTTGGACACGCCCGAGCCCTCCCCACCCGGTTTTCGAGCGCGGAGGATCTTGGGCGCTGGCATGTCGCTCTTCGCGGCGCTGGGGACGTCCATCTACCAGGTCTACTTCAAGAAGGTCTTCGGCGACCGGATGAAGCCGGAGGAGGTGGGACGGTGGGACTGGGAGGTGGGACTCGCCATAGCTGACAAGAGGAGTTCAGGAATCTGTGTTTGACCACTGGCACGGAAGTTGCATCGCCGTCGGCACGCGCCTCTGTGCGTCGAGTGTGGTCCTGCCAGCGCCATCGGCTCAACTCGTACCATGGAAATCTGCGAGCCACAGTCAAGCATATGACCCATTTTTCTTGAAAGCGTGAATGAGTTTTTCTGGCAAGCAAAGTGCTCCAGAGCCAACTTGCCATGTCCACGCCTTTGTGCGGCTTTTGGATGGATGACCAGACCCTTCAGGCTAGGCAAAGAGAGCCCGCCATTCAGAGAGACTCAGCGATTTCTGTCCTGCATCCTTGACCCTTGCAACCTTGACGCTTGTGGGTTCCATGGCAAAGACTCAGGTCTTGAGCTGCCTTTTCTGAAGCCTCCTGCCCTGCGCAGGTTTGTGCGGAGCCGGGAGCTTGGTGCTCCGACTCCAGCTTGGCTTGGCGGTGTGTTCTGTCGCCGAGGCCTGGCTGCGTCTGCGAGGCACGGATCTCGCAGAGGCCGGCCGCATGTGGAACTTAGGTGCCAGGCTAGGTATTTGTGATGACTAGGGATCCACACGGACTTCCGAAGTAACCAGCTTTTGGGTGGAGACATTCGAGCGCGCAGTTTGTCCCGCAAGTGTGGTTCTTCTTCAGATTCCATTGCGCTGTTCATCGACGGAGACAACATCCCGGCCTCTGCCTTCCGACCCATGGTGCAGGCGCGAGACGCGTGCCCAAGCCTTTGCTGGTGATGGACGCTTGGCAGGCAGTAACGCTGGTGGGAGAGATCAAGTACAGCCCGGATGCCTTGCAATGCGAGCGAGACGGAGGTGCGCCGCATGTTTCGCAAGGTCGGGTGTACATCACCAACCGCCAGGCGTCAGGGCTGTGTCTGCGGGGAGGGGTTGTGGGTGGGCTCTCAGGCAAAGCTCTGGCAGGAAGAGGAAGGCGCGGGGTGTAGCGGCAGCTTGCGCACAGGCTTGCTTTCCTTTCGCCTTTTTTCTGTGAGGGGTGGTTCCTGTGCTAGCGCCGCAGCTGGCTGCCGGGCTCAAGGACGGCAGTGACGCCTTCTCTGCCAAAATGTGGATCTACCTGCCTTGCACTTTCAATACTTTTGAATCAAGAGTATCCTTCACTCTCCTTCCTCTTCAGACTTCCGTGGGTGGGTGTTTCATTTGCCGGGAATCAACTCTAGGGTCACCTAACACAAGGTGTGAACTTGATCCGATATCCGTTCATAGGAACCAGCGTTCTAACCAATTTTGCAGTTAGAAGGCACCCCCTTTTCGTGGGCTAAAGAGGGAACGGCTGCATGTGTTGGCCTTGAAGGTAGACTTAAAGCTAAGGGTTCCCCTTTTGGAGAATTCAACTATCCCTCGTTTTTGGCCCAGCTGACCCAGTGGAGGAGCAGAGGCCGATATTTTCCTCCAGGTTTTTACATGGTTGTTTCGCCTTGCTTTTATAGGGGTAAGGTAACCGGATCAAAAGGGTTGGGCAATTCCACAAATGGGCGTTTCTCAGAATTGTGGTCTTCCAAAATTGGTTGCTTTCCTTTGAAGTGCCAACCAAAAAGGGGGTCTACCATGACCATGTGGTCAGGATGCGGCCGACATGATGCTTGCCCTGGATGCCGCTGAAGAGTGCCTGAAAGGCCAGTGCACTCAGGGCGGGGCTGCGGCGGTAGGGTCTTTTTGAGGAAGCCACTGCAGTTTTCTTAAAGGCATGGACCCTTTGACATATTGAGAAGTAATGAGATTCCTCTTGGGTTCCATTTGGCCAATAAGGGGTCCCTCTTGTCAGGAACCTGCAAGCAGCCATTTGGCGGTTGTTGCTCGTTGCGACCCACCAAAACCCCCACACCTCTTTTTGGCCGGCCAGGCACAGCATCTGCCATTGCTGTGGCCTCGGAGGTGAGGTCGAACTTAGCTTCCTATAAGCCGGATGTTAAGGGAAACAAAGGGGAAGCTGCGCGTCGGGGCATGTGCGGTTTGGAGACAAGTTCAATTTGGAGGAAAGCACGGCATCATGTCATGACTCAATGGCCAGAGCCTTTCGTGCAGTTTCCATGCGTTGAGAGGATGTGGACTTTGCCATCCTCCTGCAGAAGGCTCCCGTTGACGGGTTGGGTGTTTTTGGCGCCTCCAGTGCGAACCCCTTTAGCCTTGCCCATGCCTTCCAAGGGCGTGTTTCTCCAGGATTTATTTCTTGATTCCTCAACGGAACTTGTTGCAGAGAACATGTTTGGATGACTTTCGTTCTGCGTGACGGGGCACGGATAGGTCTCAGAAGTGAAGGGCCCTTTGGCCCCTGTGCTCTGGGCAGAGTCAATTTCAGAAGCCTGTGCCAGGTTCGGAGCTGGGGCCGGCGGGCCCTGGCTGTGGTGCCAGAGCGCGAGGCCAAGTCCAGGTGCGACGGTTGAGACATTTTCAGCTTGATCATTTTCAGCTATCAGCGTGATGCGAAGTGCCATGCTTTGCAGGGAACCTCGCCCTTGAAATCCAAGTACAGGAGTGGTTTGAAGTACAGAAGTGGTTTTGCAATTCCCAGAACCCGTGTGAGTCTTGTGGTGTGTGTGTGTGTGTGTTTCCTTTAACCGTAGATAATTATCTAGCAACCAATTGCAATTGTACGAAACATGGGCAGACTCACGAAAGGAACGCCCAACACCTGCAACGCAACTAGGGGTTGATAGTGGGTATGCGTCAAAATAGAGGTACACTCATTGGCCATTTTGTTTGGGTTTCCCTTTAAACTCTGAACAAAACAAACACACGCGCACACACACACACACACCCTTTTGGGTTTGACAAGCCCATTTCAAGTTTGGGAGTTTTTGGATTTGGGCAGGTCGCGGCAGGTGCTGGAGTCTGCGGCGGAGCTTGTGGTGTACCAGCAGAAGGCAGCTTTGACCCAGGCGGGGTCGAGGATTCCGTGACAAAAACATCAGGTCAGCCCGAGTCAGCTCTGAGTGGTTGACCCCCATGCTTTGGATTGGGTTGGTAAAACAAGCAAGGAGAATTGATCTGTTTTGTCGTCGAGGACAGATTCCACGTGTGAAGCTTAAGCCTTCGTCCTCAGAAGGGAAGTGTTCACCTTGGACTTGTGAGATTCATCCGTTCCCCTCCAATTCCATAATTGCATTATTTGACTCAAGCATCAGGATGATCCTTGCATGTGGTCAAGGGTGAGATGGCAGGTCGGCCTGCGGTTGGACACAACATCCCTTGACCTCTTTGCAGAGGTGACGCAGGCATTGGCTTCAAACATGACCTGCAAGTGAAGGTGCCCGATTTCCTTCGGCGCAGGACGTGCGCCAAGTGCAGCCCTCGCCTCACCGAGACAGGCCTAATGACCAAGCTGGCGATGTGCTCTTGAGGGCTGCACTTGGGGCTTTCCCCACCTGTGCAGGTGTCAAAAGGATTCGGGGGCTGGGGCAGGCAGATGGAACACCTGCAGCACCTCCTGCAAGACCTCAACTACTTGCCCCAGCCTTGAGATCAGCCCCTTGCCGTGACTGCCGCCTTTGGCCTCGAGGCCACGCCCTCCGGACCGCGGCGTGCTGATCGCGGCACTGGCGAAGTTCTTCCATGTGAACCAGCCCGCCTGCCAAGCTCGCGTGAGCCCATTCGGGAGGTGCTGTTCAAGCAGGAATGAAACTCGCCCTTCGGGATTCCTGTCGATGACTTTGAATGGGTATAAGTCCCCATGTTAATGAGTTCCACCCAGTCACTCGATTGAGAATGATTCCATCGCGTGGCTGAAGCTGAGGCTGGGAAGGCTCACAGTTTGGCCGCTGCACCAGGCCTTGAACGAGGCCGGGGGGTTTGCTTCCGTTTTTTTGGCTCGCCGGTGGGTTAAGAGGAAGCCCTGGGAAGTTTTCGACTTGATTCTTCCCGCTTTCGAGTTTCCCTCTCTTGCCTTAAAGGGGTGTGGTTTTGAGCTGTGCTGATTTGCCTTGGCGGAAAAAAGGCGCACGCTTTCGGTTTCCAGGCCTTTGCCGCCTGCGCCAGGCCTGGAGGCGCGGGTACCTTGTGTCGCTTTCCCCAAGCTTTGCCACTGGGGCTGATTTTAGGAGACATTGGCCAACAGCGCTCAACACGGCCAACCAGAAACACCTTGATTAACATGATTTATTCAGCCAGGCTGGGCCAAAGATCCAAAGCACCTGGTCTTCATGCAGCGCGCCCTGCCCAGTTTGGGGGGAGGTGGGCGCAAGCAAATGGCCAGCCGTCCATTGCACCCGAGTCGTGTGGGTGTGTCTTTGCTGGGACCGCCTTTTTGGCTGGCGTTGAAACAGAAACCGACATGAAGCTAACTGTTGTAGGGGGCCCTTGAGAAACACCCATGCAACAAACTGTTGGTCCCTTGCCAAGGAATTCATTAATTTGAAAGACATATCGAGGAATCCCGACAAGGGTAATCATAGCAATGAGTGTGTAAGATTAGTACTGGTGCCAGACAGGACTTGCAGGCAGTACATACTCGCTCGCAACGGCACGAGCAGGCCGCGGGGTCGGGGCTCCGGCATTGCCAAGCTCCAGGCGACTCGGGACGAAGTCTCGAAGTCGGTTTCCTGTGCCACGGGTGAAGCAAAACGCAGCCTCTTCTTTGCTTAGACTTTGTTGAGCACAGCAGGTTAATGATGCTAGTGATGCTAGCGGTTGCTGCATTTGCTCCCCGGCTTACCGATCGCCACTTTCACATCATTTCTTTAGTTTTTTTTTTTTTTTTCAGGCGCATCATCACGCCTCGTCACAGTTGGCTCAACCCTGAACCCCCCTAAAACCATAAACCCACAAACCCGAAACCCTAATTCTAAAGAGAGAGAGAGAGAGAGAGAGAGAGAGAGAGAGAGAGACCCTATACCCAACCCCGTGCCGAAAGCTGCCCAGGCGTTGTATAAAATCAGCCAGTTCTGCTCCTCAGCCTGATAGGTTATGAGCAAATGTTCTGGTGTTTTGCTGCT